ATGATGTTTAAGATAATGAATCCTACTTATTGAATAATTTTATTTGATTGTCTGATGTTCATACTCTTAATTTGCGTTCATCATCTAATTTTCAACTTTCCAACCCAAGACCAGATACTGAACAATTTCGTAAGCCTTTTCTACCCTGGATCTTCCTGATTATATGAAGTCTGCTATCATTTTAAAACATTATTCTAGAGATATTATTACCCATCGGTGTATACAAATAAATCGCCTCATGCATGTGGCATTTATGTATTTTAATAGTTTGATTATTTTAAATTTATAATGTTCCTTATTGAGGGCCTCATGGAAGATTAATATACTGTTCAAATGAGTTCTGTCGTTTAATAAAGTCTTTATTATTGATATTCCTACAACCTAAACTGTACTTTTCTTTTTTTCTGTACATGTACTATTTACAATGATCCCAACTGCTTTACTTCATTTTGGTTTGTAACTGTCTTATTTTATCATTTAATCTATTCTATATTTCAGGGAACAACCGATTGCTGATTTCACAAATTCGATGTTCGGGCCTCTTTTTTACATGAGCATAGAAGGAATAAACTATTGACATTTTTAGTTTCACTGTAAATAAATTTATTTTCATTGAATCAAGTAAGGCAATTCTATTTTTAAATGATTCAATAACATCCAAAGTGTGTTAACATCGGAGTAAATATTTTTAAACTCATGTATTTTGGCATACATGTATCAAATAGAATCATTTTTGTGAATTATCTGCCCTTGCAACAACATATCAATTGTGAAGGGCATATAACTCGAAAATTAACGCGGTGATTTATGATCAAAATACTTTTGTAATTATAAGATCGTGCAAATGGTTACATAAATTTTATACTATACAGCTTTCATTATGCCAATATGTCTTTATTTACAGGAAGCAGACGTACGTACGTTAATTACATAAGGGCAGACCTTCGACCATGAGAAACAAACATTGTTCATTGTTTCTTGCGTATTTTTTCACAGTCGTGCAAAATTTGCTTCACATTTCTGTTGATTTAATAAAAATTTCTTTCTTTGAATTATTTCCTTGATAAACACTTATATGAAAACAAATGCTTAAACCATAGTACATAGCCTTATAACTTAAAATCTTTTTTTTCCCGATTACCCATTAGAAGAACGGACTCATCATCCTATAAACTTGCCGGAGAGAAATGTTGCAAGATTATTGACTTAAAACAAAAGTTGCATCCCGTAAAAGTGCATTGAAGAAAACTGCTATTAGTCCTGACAATTTGATCAATCAACCGCACTTAAACTCTCAAGAAGTTGTACGTAAATGCTAGTTTACATAGATACGATGATTCAACGATCGATTAAACGATCAACCAGAGAAGAAAAAATTATCAGTCAAGCCTTTTAGTAAACTGTTTTGTACATTGATATATGAAAACAGAGAATACACAGGTAGAGTAACGTAGAGTTATTAACGAGCTGATTTTAATCATATTGCGATGCATGTAGATTTTAACCAAATTTTAATAATTTTGAATCAGCAATATATGTTGATAAGTGACACTTAAGAAACACTTCATGACCATAGACAGTGTGTAGGATACTATATGATAAATAAATAAAGATAAACCTAATCATCTAAATTAAAATCGCTGATGTTTTATCATTACATGTCATATCGTATTCATTTGAAGGTTATTCTGACAATTGCTTACGATAATTAAAATTTAAGCGTATTATTTTATTTATTGCTAGTGACTTAAGTTGTTGCAGACACATGACTGTTTAAAGTTATACCATAGTCAAACACCGCTCCAGAGAATGGGGCTATTTGTTTTAATCATGTTGCTTTTGATGGTGAAAGCAGGTAAGACTTTTTTATCTGCCTAATTATAGTTAATATTAATTAAATATCATAAAACGGTCTCTTGTCCTCTTGCATCGGCGTAAGCAGAATTCAGCATTGAGACAGAGACATGAAAAAAGGTGCTTCCAAGTTACTTCACATAAAATACGCAGGCTCAGGTCTACAATTGTTGTCGATAAATGTGAAACAAACTAATACAATATTATACTAGTTAGCCATTGAATATGATGTGATATTTACCGACGGACGACATAGCCGAGGTCAATATGACTTCTGCCGGTGAATATCACATCATATTCAATGGCACACTAGTCAATAATTGTTTTATTATATGAATAGGCTAAGAATTTAAAAAAGCACAACGATTACAACTTTATATACATGTACAAATTTAACCTCACTGAAGCGCGGGAAAAAAGACGCACGTGTTAGGCGTGCAACGACTACTCGAACGCTGCGCATGCAAAAGTAATTCAAGTTTATACTCATCACTGCGGTGTAGCCTTTTTAAAAGTATAATAGTAAAATAATGATATTTCAATCGAGAAATATGCCATAAAGAACAAAACGCAACAATTATTTTTTAATTAACACGCCTAATTAACAGTCTACGGTGTGTGGTCGTTGAATATGAATTTCGATGTATTTTTAGACTGGGAAAATCCAATTCAGCCAGTGAATATGATACTACACCCAGTGAATATGATTTTATAAAAAGTTTTGTTGACTACTGTTTGGACCAATGAGATTGCAGCTATATTTAGATCATATAATAAGAAAAGTTATTACACGTTCTAAAGAGTTCCTTTTAAAATATTCCTATATACCAATTTATGTTAAGAATGGCTAAATAGATTACCAGAATTCAGTAAAAATCAATGAAAATTCTACCTGTATATAGTTCATTCAAAGGACAAGTTGTACAATAGAAGGCTTATGGCTGGAAAGACGCCTCGCCGGAAGTGACTGATAGAACAATTGTTTTGATAAACTTATCGTTTCTTCACCATTTCCTGACCTTTACAAGTACAAATGTTGCTGCAATATGCAGCAAATGAGAAGCTCCGCGCAAAAAATGTGCTCATTACAGATACTTTACTAAATCATTCCTACGCACAGATCATTTTCTATTTTGTTTAAATACTATTATATTATTCCGGATGTTTTGTAAATCATTTAAAGTTGCACAATTATACTTATCGTATGCACTGTTCATGAGAGAGGGGATTTAAAAAATATGCATTCACTGATGCCTACCTGGTAAGAAAAGTTATTCCAATACAAACAAGAAAAGCATTGATGCAAAGCATCAAAGGGCGTCCAGAAAGTGAAGATGAACTAGTAGACATATGATGTCAAGATATTCTTATAAACTTTTCAATGGTTAATTGGTTTTTACCAAAATGAACGGACGGAAGACATTGTTCATTATGAACTTTGATTGGCAACGGATCATTTATAATCCATACCCATGTGTAACGCATGATCAACACCACACTTGTGGAAATGTCCCTTATTATGTAATCGCTATTAGCGAAGACCCCCTCTTAAGGTATCTGTTCACACTTAGTAAAAATATGACACTGGTTATATTACCATGTCATGTTGAACATTATTGTTTATTATACAATAATTGTAATATCTATTTTAATAACAAAATTACAGATTTTATGAATATTGTTTTCCTCTCTCTTTTTGTGTTTTCATGTTTTTATGTGCTATTTTAATACTGAGTTGTTTACGTTTACTATTCTTTTTTCTTAAAATTGTAAAATAAATTTTAAGAATTCAAATGTCATATTGACCGACGATTATAAGTCAAAACTTAACTGGAAAAAGTCAGTAAATTATGGTTAATCTTTCAATATACAATATTGTTTATTCTTAAACCATGTATATGTTCATTTGTATTTTTCTTTATCATTTTTTTAAACTATCAATCAATCAAATAATTAATAAAATCTAATTTGTAACTTTGGATAATTCTTCGGCATCTTTACTAAACACGAATAACAAATTAAATAAAATGTTTCAAAGTTGATAGTGTCATATTAAAACCATAAAAATGTACCTTTTTTCACAATTATTGTACATATTTATTGTTTTTATCTCATATAGATAAAATGAAACATGCTATTGTTGTTGTTGTTTTTTTTTCGAATTGTATGTTTATGTATAATAATAATCAATATATTTAAGAGTTGATCTATGTTTATTAGTTATTGTAACCAACCTAAGTGACAAACATTCATTTTGGAAAAAAGCTTATTTATCTGTAAAATATTTGTTCTGTTCTGTAACGATATCAAACATCTACTCCAAAACCGAGAGAGACCGGACAATAAACGTGTGATACTTTTCGCCGGTCACTAGTATCACGGTCAAAATAGACCGGGAGAGACCGGAACACCGATAGGAGTACATCCCTCTATAAATAGACTTTCGGAATATTTAGGTCATCAACTCATCAACATTCTATTTTAATATACCAAAATTCTCCAGTTCGCTATTCATTGTACATATCGCGACTAATTAATAATCAAGCTAAACCCACTGTGTGCTACAAAATGATAAATAAAAATACCCCGAAGACCGCGATTTATTGACGGAAAAGGTGATTTCATTTGAAAATGTTTGCATTGCGAAAGTCTCCAGTTCGCTATTTATTGTAAATATCGCGACTAATTAATAATCAAGCACCCTCATACCGATCGGAATGATCGGCTTTTATTATGAACAACTATAAAAGGCTCGAGAAGTTGCTGTCGCCCTTTCACAAAATCTGATTTCATTACATAAAAGGCGCCGCGCTTCGGCGCGGACGCCAACAAGACTTACTTACTGGGTGGTTCCAGTATTCCTACTTGAATACTGTCTAATCACCCTTAGGATATGTTGCCGTCTTTTTTAATTGTCTTTTGACGTCTTATCTGTGATATGCAGCCTTCATAACCCCAGATCCCATTGCAAAATTCCATTTTATTTAGTTCCGCCCATTGTTTTCTCGTTTAGGGCACATATATTTTTTTAATTGGGGACCATACGCCGCTTTTCATGGAATGGCACTACTGTGTCATTGAAGGTTCCATTATAACCGCCATATTTACAAATCTGCGGATGTTTCTAAATTCAAAATTTCACCATTTTCGTGTTTAAATGCTGAATTCTGCTTAAGCCGGTGCTAGGGGGCGTGGACGGTAACTTGCACTTTCCAGTACCGTTCATGAACAGGCTTAATCAAACCGAACCTGCAACATTTTCAATTTTGCCGTGTTGGGCTTTCTTTAGGGATTCTGTTTTTCTCTATTTTACAGACTTGTAATGTGACATGACAGTAGTGCAACATTGTTCTGTTTGTGTCACCACTGTATTCAGTAGTTTTAGATTATAATGAAATATCAAAGCATGTTCATTTTCTATTTCACCTATTATGCTACTCATTTTCTCCAAAAATCAACAACTAATCCTGGTAAGAAATATCCATGTGTAAATAATCCAAAGCAAAAAACTTTCATCGACTTTATTTTTCAAAATGTCCGTCACATGTTTCGCGGCAAATGGTATGTCATGATACAGGAAAGCATGGATGCAAAGCATCAAAGGGCGTGCAAGCAAGAAATGCAGCAAGTAAAGATAAACAAGTACACATCTGATGACCAGATATTCTTATAAACCTTTCAATGGTTAATTGGTATTTACCAGAATTCTATATCATTTATGAATGGGCGGACGAAAGACATTGTTCATCATGAACTTTGGTAAGCATGCTAGAGAATATAATATTAAATTTATTTCCACATGAACTTGAAATTCTATCAATATTAACGACAATATCCAAAATATACCTATGATACACTATATAGTATAGTTTATTTATACTATATAGGGGTATTTTTTGATATTTACATTAATATTCGTTATTTGATCCTGTAGTATTTTCTATGGAACATACAAAATAGTAGTCAAAATGAAAAAAGTCAATTAATTGATTTTTTTTGGAAGGTCAATCTACTACTTTGTTGAATTGTTTCAAAAACCTCGTCTGACCCACCAGTGTGTTTACATTCCTATCAATAATAAACCCACAACAACTCATGTTAAAACTGTAAAATGTTACACTATTCGGCAAATCAACATTCCACTTAAACTACCATAAAACCGATTGCCTTCAACAGCAAAATTTCGGGAAATCAGGGTCTATTTTAGCCAAAGAGACTTGAACATGTTTTATAGTATACTATTGCTAGACCTGTTTACTGTCGCACAACGTCAAAATAAAAGCGACATATAAAGTTATGGAAACCAAAACTAGGTCGATTTAAATATTCACTGTAAAAAATGTCATACGTGCAATCAGGGCTGTAAAAAAGAAAACAGGAATGAATCTACGGAAAAGACAATTTCAAAATGATAATACTATGATATAACAATTCGTAAAAATGGCCTACTTAATTTTTTTTCCTATAAATATATAATGAGTGCAATTTATTCTTTGAATATGTTTGCAATTCATTTCCTGCAAAACTCTTCAGTTCGTTATTTATTACCATAGCGCGACACGAATGACCGTTTCGTTACACTAAAACTACCTCTATAAATAGATTTTCGGAAAATCACAATGTTAAGATCATCATTCTATTGATAGCTTTCGAATTAAAATACATAATAACCCACTTTGTACTACAAAATAATTAATAATTTCCTGTAGAAGATACAAATGTAAAAAATAAATTACCGAATTTAAGTTTTTTGTTTTGTCTTTTATACTGCCTTCCAAGAGGTAGAGGCGTGAAATTTGTCCCCAGTCTCATTCATTAATAAGGGATGCTGCAAATCACCGAAGGGGAAACCAATATATGACTTTTCATAATAGAAATCGGAAGTTATTATTTATTCAGAATTTATTTTCGGCTGTAAATCGAAGGAATAATTGATAAAAATCGGGTCCATAGACAAAAAATTAAACACAAATAGCTCCGCGCCTATGGGCGCGAGCAATAAGCTGTTATCGGCGATGTGTATAACAATTTTGATTTAACGTAGAAAGTTTCAGAAGTTCATTATTGAGCTATTGTGTTATATGACACGACTATCTGTAAGAAGATGACAAAAGTCTTTTAAGATGGTCTCCCCTCTGTTTATAGCATTATCGATGTTACAATTGTCCTTGACATCATAAGATAATCATGAATGTCAAGGATTTAACATGTTAAAACTATACATCATTGGCCTAATAAGACAATCCTATCGGTTTACCTATTTTTATCAAAGGTGTATGATAATGATTAATTTAATGGATACTGCTGAAGTGATATAACCACTTGTAGAATTCAAGGACAATAGACTTTACCTTAGCTCCTTCAAATGGATCACGTTGAAAAATAATGACAAAATATCCCCATCATCTGTTCTGTACTTTCAGCTGCATTTGTTATGACGAAAGTAATTTGTATTTTCGTAATAATTTTGATCAGCTGTACCAACTTTGCCTATTTCTCGAAGCTTAGTTGGAATCTGAATATATAATTTTGAATGTTTTCATCGCTGAGCTGATTCAAAAATTATGCGGGATAAATCGGTCACTTGCTTTAAAAATATGGGTAATAACTGGTTAGTTATCCAGGAAAGTCTGGTGGATCGAACGCCAAGATATGTCCAAAATATGTTGAAAGCAGCGTAAACAACCAGGAAAACAAACACTTCAAGTGTTTTACAATTAACCATATCTGAATGATTTTACTTTATAATAAGTAAGGATGTGTCAATAGAACTTTCTGATTATCATCCATTGACTTTCATTACTAAATATGTCCTAAATGAACGTTTGAAAGTTCATTTTCGTGCAAAGATTTTCAAAAGTGCAGGTATGAATAACCTTAATTGCTCCGCGCCCACAGGCGCGGAGCTATTTGTGTTTACTATTTTTTTGTCCATGGGCCCGGATTTGAGCAATAAATCCTTTCGATTAACAGCTAAAAGTAAATCCGCATTCAAGAACTCCTTTCGATTTCTATATTGGTTTCCCCGTCGGTGATTCGCAGCATGTCATATTAATGAATGAGAACCGGAAAGCAGTTCTGCTGTTACATAAATTCGAAAGCTATAAATAGCTATAAATGTTTTGACACTTAGGTTATACATTTGTTATTTCCCTTTTTAGTAGTACATGAAATTATAATTTGTTACATTTTGAAATACATTTACACACAGCATATCAAGTATACTATTAGTGATTGAATTTGTCAATATAAAGAAGATTTCAGGCAAAAGATTTTAACAATTTTGCTTCTGATAATTATTCTTAATTTATATTTATGAAATTAAATGTTTAATAATAACATGTTGATATATTGGTTGTTTTGAAATAATTAAACTTTAGTATATAAGATTAAATTTCTTTAGCGGCATTGGTACCTTCTCACATCCCCTCGGAGCGTGCACGTCGCTGAGAAGGCACAGGGCATCGGCAGAAGATTTACAACTTGGCTGGTAGACTCAACTTAAATTTTGCCTTCAACCGTGGGCGGTAACTACGGAACTACTTCGTCACTTCTGCGGACCAGCTGCCGATGTCCTGACTAATGCCGAGGGGAGTGGCCCTACAAAGTAGGCTGAGACGACGAGGATGGTGTGCTAGGGTGCGTGAGCCCTTAGCACAGATTGACGGCTTGTAAGGCAGGCCTATAGCTGGCACCAACAGCCCTTTTCAGGGCTAAAACACCTTTCCTATATTGTCACAGGTTGCTGTACATTTAGGTTCTCATTGACCGCCGTACAGTGACCTACTTTTCGGCTCAAAATTCATATCTTTGGCTAATACTCCGTGGAAATTGCATGGAGGTAAATTATCACCATTTTGTGCTTCAAAATTCACTCTTTAAGGACATGACTGGTGACATGTCCGGGGTCCGTACTCGACAGCGCAAGCTGCATTTTGTGCCCGAAAGGGCGGATGGACCCTCATTAAGCTTTAACTACATACATGCGGCATTGGTACAGCATACCACTTTGTAATAATGGTATGACTGGTGACATGTTCGGGGGTCTGCAGCAAAAGCTGCATTTTGTAGCCTAACGAGCGGATCGACCCTCATTAAGGTGATTCCGCTTTGTCAGCCAAGTTTGTTTTCACAAAGTCTGTGCAAAGTGACAGTAGGCCAAAATTCAAATAACAACAAAGCTCACATTGTTATATGATGAGCCATTTGCAAGTACACTTCCAATTCTATGTTTTAAAGACTATTTTAAACAAAAATAAAAATGATAACAATAAGGAATTAATCTTGAATGAGCTACATTTCTGAAGACCAAAAACATTTTGTTGCAAATCTTTATGCACATTTCATGAATGGCAAAATCAAGTTGTTTAAAGTCTATTTTAGTGCAAACAAATGCTATTTTTTGCAGAAAATACAAAAAACTTTAAAAAACATAAATCTTAGGAAAGTAGTATATCTGACCTTGAAAAAACATGGCATGTGTAAAAAAGTAGTACCATGAAAATAAACATCATTTACCTATTTCTTGTGTACATGACAAACAGACACACTTCACTGTTACACATAAAAAGGTTAGATTTTAAAGTTTGATTGTGTTTTCATTTTAATTGTAGTTCATAATTAAGGCTATAAATGATGATTGTTTTCTTACAAAAAATAATGGAGGCCATGTGCTTAGAAGGACATGAGATACTGATTTATTTGGAGTTAAGTTTTGAAAGATTTTTGTATTTGCTGTAAAAAAATAGCTTTTGTTGGCACTAAAACAGACTTTTAAAAGGATTTTGCCATTCATGAAATGTGCATAAAACTTTGCAACAGAATGTTTTTGGTCTTCAGAAATGTAGCACATTCAAGGTAAATATTCTTATTGTTATCATTTTTATTTTTGTTTATAATTGTCCTTAAAATATAAACCTGGAAGTGTATTTTCAAATGATTCATCATTTTACAATAAGAGCTTTGTTGTTATATGAATTTTGGCCTACTTTCACTGTGGACAGACTTTAGTTAAAACAAACATGGCTGACAAAGCGGAATCATCTTAAGCATAGGCTTTAGATAGATATCATGACAACAACAGAAACTTTGATCTGCAGTTTGAACATGAAGTGTAATGTTTTTTATGAATGGTTTTAAAGCAATTCAACAAAAAAATATATATTGATCTGCCTAAAAATTAATTAACAATAGTTTTTTTTATATATTACCAATGTCAAATAGCTTTCATATCTTTGTCTCTTACGAATATGATATTAGTGAATTTCCTCATACCTACCTAAAATTCAGGTAACAGTCTTCTATTGTATTGATAAATACTGTATCACCATGTAACCCGTGTATAACAAACAAAAAAAATCCTGAATTTGGTCTTTTGGAAATTCATCCCATTTTTTCATTCCAGAGTGTGTTCTACTTTCAGTATTGAAAGAAACCATTTTTTTTAATTTGACATAAAAAAATGCATGTAATATTACTATATTATAATATTAGTCCCTTATGTTACTATTTGTATACTTGTTACAATTATAACAGACTTTGATATTTCTATCATCTATCTTCTGTTACTGAAACATAACACAGTACAGTCATGTCACATAACATTTACAAGTCTTGTAAGTCTTGTTTGTATTCAATGGAATTACTTTCCTTACCAGGTAGGCATCAGTGAAAGCATTTTTTATATTAAATATTTTTCCCCTCTTTTTAATTATGGACAGTGCATAAGATAAGTATAATTATGCAAAAAATGGTTTACAAAACATTCGGAAAAAAATCTACAATAGTACTTAATCTGAATATAACATGACCTGTGCGTAGGAATAATTTGGTAAGGTATCTGTAATGAGCACATTTTTTTGCGCGGAGCTTCTCAATTGCTGCATTGCAGCAACATTTGTACTTGTAAGATTAAGAGTAGCATGTATATTTAACCCTTAAATTGCCAATTCAACACCATATGGGATTCTAGTTCTGTTCCTCCTGTATACAGTCACAAATAACTCAAAGCTTTCTCTGTTACAAATTTAAAACGTTCATAAGTTAACTTAATGTATGTATTAGAGTCGTCAACACCATATCTTTACTGTTATCATCATATCACCAATACAATCTTATTTACAGATATATGATTAGGAATGAAGGACAATTATATCGGTAAGATATGTGCGCTTACGTGAATGGTCAACACCGGACTATCATCAATATATCACACAAATTAGAGATAAAATGTTGCAAATAGAACAATTAGGTTATCTAATGTTTATAGACACATCACGTGTACAATGCATGATCAGCTTGTTGATCTTTTCTCATTGCAATGAGAAAAACCTTAAAGAGGAAAACTTGGCTTGATACCGTTTTTGTTGAATTAACTTTGCAAAACGTAAAAATGAACTCATTATCTTCTAACTATTTTATCATAAATCCATCTATCGACCAATTCAATTTTAAATCAAAAGATGTTTAAGATTTGTGAAATGTTAAAATAAAATGAATTAAAGAATTAAAGCATTCCAAATTTATTCACTTATGATCTACAGATGTGAAGTTTAACTGTATTGTATCATTAAAAAAAGTGCAATCGACAAAATAAAAAACAACTCAACTTTATTTTGTAAGTTTGTTTGTTTTTGTTTATTAACAAACATTTCAAAATTCTAGTAAATCCATGACTAAATCATTGTGTAATAATAAAGATTGTGAGAGAAGTGTTTGACTCAATAACCCTGCTATAACATAAAAAAGATTATGTCTTCAGCTTAACTTTCAGTCAACTAGGTTTTGTACTGCTGGCTAGTTATTTTATAATTTTGTATTGCTTTTCCCTTGTACCCTGTCCTGTTTTGTTTGGTGTCCCACTGGGCTCCTTACCGGTGGTCCTGTTTTGCTGGGCTGTGTTAGGGGGTTCGTTCATTGAATGCCACCATCTTTGTTGATCTTGTTTTCCATATAATGAACTCACTAAAATTGAAAAAGACAGTTCCCAAACTGGACGCAGGACAAATTCATTTAAGATATTCAGCAGATTTAAGGTAAATCAGCATGATATTTAATAAGTTGAAATAAGTAATTTATGATGGTATACAGGTATTTGTAGATATATTCATTGTATTGTTTTCAGGAACCATGCAGATGTCTGATAACACTTGTTCTACATCGTGTGCAGGTAAAAACTTATATAGACGAATAACATGATGTATTGCGTTGTTTTCAATTAAATAATGTCTTTAACGTATGTGTTTAAATTTACTAAACTTTTTAATGTACACAATTTTCAATATAAAATGAATTAAAGCTGCCAAGAAATACGACATAACACTGTAAAATTATATTTCCTTGCAAATAAAACGTTTATTTGTATATTGAATTAAAATTTAATCTTATATATATTCCAATTACTAATTATAAGCACATGAACAAATGGCGATTATGAATCAATGTTGTGCACATAAGCCTTATGAAATCTAGATATCTGGATATCTGAAAAAGAAATAACGAGCAAATGTTTACTACAAGAGTAAAAAGGTAACAACAGTTTTCCTTATCAAATTGAGCTCTCTAAAATGTTTCAATAAAATTAAGAATGCTTTATGATTAAAAATCGATCACCGTACATTTATGTGATGTGTTTAACTGTATATAGTAATTGATCGGTAAGGCGATTGCAACTTTTAAGCATTGTATGGGCTGTTTTTAAAATAGATTGTGTTTTTCTTTTAGTAGGAAACAGTAAGTTTGACTATATGACCGGACACACATATACGTACATTTATAAGTCAGATATCTCGACGCAGATAGAGGGAACTTCTGATGATAAAGCATCAGTCCACCTCTCTGCGTTCGTTCACCTTGAAATTCTGGGAAAATGTGAGGTTTCAATGAAGGTAAGTTGATTAAAGTATGTAAAGTTTATTGTACCTTTTGGCAAATAGAAAGCTGTTAGCACTTTATTTTGTACAATATTGCCTGAAACATTTGCGGTCACTTTTGTATCAAGTGTTCTGCCATTATAGGTCTGATAAGTATCCGACGGAAAGAAATTCCTATCTATAGACACTGTTTATAACATGACCTTGTGTAATGCGTTCAGTGGCAACCAAATATCAGCCCAGAAGAGACGATATTACGGTCAGCAGGAAAAAAAGAACAACGTGTTAATATTACGGCACCGGTCATGAAGCATTTAACAACATGTGTTCCTATTCTCACTGAAAATATAGTTTAGCGATTCAGAAAACTTTTTTTGTTTTAATAATTCTCATTACCGAATTGGTAACTATTTTTCAAGTAAGATATTGCGGTCTATTGCTGACTGGTCAACAGTTATAACTATTTCATGTTTATCATGAATTGATAAACTGTTTGTTTTTGTAAAAAAAAATAATATATCAAAACAGAATACGACCATAAATAGTGATATTTTATCATAACATTTTTCGATAACCTAGTTATAGCGGTCATCTGCCTATAGTGGTCATTTAAGCACAGTCCCTTTACTGACCACAAAAAGTAGGTTAGACTGTAATATACAATGATGCAGTCCTCATTTAGTAACTATGAATTGAAAATGGAAAGGCAAACAACATCATTTAAGGTATTACTGAAATAACAAATGTTAATGTTGACATAACTGGATAATATATATATATATAACTCTAATTTTTCAGTTGAATAAGGTTGATTTTTCTGAATATGGCCAAGATGACTCAAAAATGAAAAGAATTTCAAACGACTTTAAAATTGGCTTGGAAAGGAACCCTGCACGATTTTCATACCAAGATGGTAGAATAGAAGATATATGTATCCCTGAGGATGAACCTATTTGGGTCTTAAATGTAAAGCGTGGAATTATTTCTCTTATCCAAAACAACATGGACGACTTTTCAACAAGTGTAACTGTATTAGAGGTATAGAATTGCGAATGTATTTGAAATGTTTACCTTTCATATAAAATACATGAGATGATTTTTACACAATATTTGAATCTAAACATTTTTTTATAGATCTTAAATTCTAATTATTACCTTGTCCAAATGTGTGTTGTTTTAATGTTATGTCTGTTCTTAATTCTTGTGATTTTCTGGGCTTAAAATTCTTGAAAGTTCTTTATCAAATCTTAAAAATCTTAACATTGTTTTTTCAGACTGATGTGTCAGGGATATGCAACACTATGTACTCAGTGCTTGAGAGTTATGAGGACTATTTTTCTATACAGAAGTCAAAAGATTTGGTCAGCTGTACCGACAGACATAGTTTCAAATCTTTCATCCAGGGAGTGCCGTATACATCCAAATCAGTAAGGCCTAAGATATTCTGGTGATATTTAAAACAGGGTATGTGAAGGTGCAGCCTGACTGGGACTTGAAGCCGAGGCCCTTAAACTACCTTTTCTGCAGCTTCTGTACTGAGCTATCCTGCCACTGTAAACACATTTTTGTCCAAATGATGAACAATTTTTATGATACAAATCAATATTTGCTTAACTCGAAGTATTAAGATTTTACGTGAATGTTCAGGATGATATATATATTTTGCAGTACATCAAATCTCTACCGTTGATGAAGAGTGACTATAACTGTAAAAGTGAGATAGAGTCGGGGTTGTTGAAAAGTGTTCAGTGCGTGGAAAAAAATATGTTACGACCGTTCTCCAAGTCCGATAGTGGTGCCGTCACAGTAAATAAACAGTTTCTTACCTTCGTACGTAGAAGTTCTTCTGGAACGCAACCTCAAGGTGAATTACATATATACTCACTTGTTATTGTACATTGTATTTGCTTCTGTACTTGTATATAAGAATATATTTTTATCAAAACAGTTAATAAAATGAGAACACATGTTGTTTACAATACAATAGATTAAATACGAAACATTGGTCGAATTTATTACCCTTTTCAGCGTAAGGCATAAATTATTAAATAAAAAACTAAGATAACTACACAATCAAATTTCGATATTAATTGTTTTTAATATATTTTTATAGACCTACCTGAATGGGATTATCTCTAAAAGCTTTGATTAATGATTTATTTTACCGACAAAAAATTCTTCAAAAAGCTGTATCAAACATTTCATTGATATTGTTTTAAAGATGTATTAAAAGGTAAATGAAGGAAACAGTCACAAATGTGTATTTGTTTTGCAGGCAAAATAAATATAAGAAGATCTTTGAAGTTTGAACATGCACACGGTATCGAGAAGGAGAGCAATAATAGGCATGATATTACTTCGAAGCTAGTTGAAATATGTGAGAATACAAGGTCTGGAGTAGATACTGATACGCCGAAACTCTTCGAGGAACTTGTATACATAATGAAATTAGCTGACATCGATACTCTTTTTGCGATGAACAAATTTTTGACAGATGATACACTTTGTAAAGACAATTATTTTCGGACAAGGTAAATCAGTGGCACAAAGTTTGTATACAATGTTTGTAATATCTTTTGAATATTCATTCCGAAATAGAAACTAAGATAGTGATAGGGCCATTGAAGTTTAATCATTTAAATTCGGAATAATTTAAATACGTATTAAAACCTTTAAATAAATAAATTTGTCACTTTATTTTGTTACATATTTTTGGTCTATTTAAAACCTTCTTTACAGGAAGTTCTTTCTTGACGCACTGCCTTTCATTGGTACACGTGCCTCTATTCATATGATCACAGATTTGATAACTAGAAACGCTATACATGAACACGAGGCAGATATGTGGCTATCATCACTTTCTTTTATCAAAAAACCAACAAAAGAAATGCTAAAAGAGATTCTGGTATGTACATGAAACTAGAAGCGTAGATATTTTGGAGAAAACATTTTGATCCGTAATATTCCAATTGTCTTTCATTTGATAGGTTTACAAGTTTAATTAATTGCAACATGTTGCCATTACTTTTTATAACAAAATAGTTTAAATAGTTTTAAAATATGTAATATGTAATACAGTTACTTGAGGAGAAGATTAATAACAGTGTTTCAATTAAATGAATATCAAGAAATCTGCCATTAAATTTGACTTTCAGCCACTGGTAACAGAGGATATCAATTCAGAGAAAGTGATGTTGTCAATCGGTACACTTATTCATAATTACTGCGTTCACCATGACGATTGTGAGAACGACGATTTTATCAAGACTATTATCTCGGCAATAACCGTAAAAATTTCAACAGGATGTCGAGTAGATAATAACAACAGAAAACCAGTAAGAAATCTCTTTTTCAGATGTTTATCGTGTTTTGTGGTTCATTTTTGTTGACTTATTTATTTTCTCTTATTCATTCAAACGGATTGCCATTTTTATATGCCCCCTGGCGTCCGTCTGTCTGTCCGTCCGTCCGTCCGTTAGCAATTTGGTTTCCGGAGCATAACTTAAGTTCCATTTGGCCCACAATGTTCAAAATTCATAGGATGATTGTCCATATTAGGTAGAAGACCCATATTGATTTTGGGGTCAAAAGGTCAAAGGTCACTATTACCTTAAAACTGGAAACAGTTTCCGGAGCATATCTTTAGTTCCATTCGACCCACAATGTTCAAACTTCATAGGATGATTGTGCATATTAGGCAGAAGACGCCTATTGATTTTGATGTCACAAGGTCAAAGGTTAAGGTCACTGTTACCTTGATACTGAAAACAGTTTCCGGAGCATTACTTAAGTTCCAATTGGCCCTAAATGTTCAAAGTTCCTATGATGATTGTTCATATTGGGTAGAAGACCCCCATTGATTTTGGGGTCAAAAGGTCAAAGTCACTATAACCTAAAAACTGAAAACAGTTTCCGGAGCATAACTTAAGTTCCATTCGACCCACAATGTTCAAACTCATATGATGATTGTCAATATTGGGTAGAAGACCCCTATTGATTTTGGGGTCAAAAAGTCAAAGGTCAAGGTCACTATTACCTTAAAACCAAAAACAGTTTCCGGAGCATAACGTAAGTTCCATTCGGCCCACTATATTCAAACTTCATAGGATGATTGTCCATATTGGGTAAAAGACCCCTGTTGATTTTGAGATCACAAGGTCAAAGGTCAAAGTCACTTTTACCTTAATACTGAAAACAGTTTCTAGAGCATAATTAAAGTTCCAATATGCCCACAATATTCAAACTTCTTAGGATGATTGTCCATATAAGATAGAAGACCCCTATTGATTTTGGGGTCACAAGGTCAAAGCTTAAGGTCATTATTAATAACTTAAGTATTAATAAACATACAGCTGTAAAATTTTATAGGATGAACAGCTAATTCCCATGTCTTACAAATGCTTCATCCTTACTAAAAAAAACACTTTCGGGCATATAATGCTCCCCCTAGCGGTGCTCTTGTTATTGTGTGTTTCATCATATAATTATGTTATATCGTTTATTTCTAAATATCGGTTATCTGACAATCATCTTTAGATTTTGTTTCTTTTACCATATTTTTACAGACTCTACGTTTGCTGAAAGGACTAGGAAATGCAGGTTTTGCTGACATTTCAACGCTAACAGAGTGCATGACTCTCAAATCAAACCCGTTGGACATTAGACTCTCAGCTATTCAAGCCACGCGACGAGAACCTTGTCGTTCTAATGTGAGTTTATAAAGCCATTGCTGTCGAAGTATATTGAAATATTAACTTTTGGAAATATGTTAGTTTTGGCTTTCTAGTATTTACACAAGGTAACATCTATACAATAATAATATCATTTTATTTGCGTGTTTGATATTCTATATATTAGCAACTTTATGTCCATCCAAGGCTATAGAGTGAGTGAACATACGAAAGTCAAAATCAGTGTACATTTTGCCATTATTCCTTTCATGTGCATGAACGCTAGATCACTCGCGTGACACAAGACCATTTCTGTAAATATTCATCGGAATTTTCATCGGAATATACCTGTAACAGTCAATTTATAAAAAGAGTGGGACGGATTTAGGCAGATTTACATTTTATCCTAAACTTTTTCCAATATCAATTGTTGGTCAATCACCATTTTAGCAGGCAATCTCTTGAAATGTATAGTCAATTCAGCACAACTTGCCAATGAAAAATGAGGATAATGTCATTTTGAAGTGTGCTGAATGCTTTGTGCGATTAAAAATCAATGTCATGTCCCAAAAACTTTCATTTTAGAGAATGGCGCTGATAACTTTACTCCAAGATGAATCAGACAGTTATGAAACAAGAATAGCTGCTTATAAAATGTTAATGGCATGCCCATCGAAAAATGTAATTGATGCGGTCAAACTGACATTAACAAGGGAGCCACGAAATCAGGTAATGCATTATCTAGTTTTTTTCTGAGATCTGTTGGGTTAAAATTTTACATTGTTTACAACGTTTGATCTTACCTCTTTGTACCCTTTTTATTTGGTTCTTAGCTGTGCAAACTAAAACTTAACACTTTACAAAGATTTCATAAATTCCATATTTTTATATATTCTAATGTATTTAAAAAGGACAATATATGTTCTTGTAGATCAGTTCTTACATTTGGACACATCTGTCTAACCTATTGAGAACGTCCGATATATACAAGCAAGACATAGGCAACATTCTTGGAGACGAAGCGTTGAAAAGAAGGTTCGATCTTGATAACAAAAAGTTCGCCAGAAATTATGCAACATCAGGTTTTATAGAAAAATTAAACACCGGATCTAAAATTGAAGCTGATCTGATTTGGTCCTTAAGATCTTCTGTACCACACTCGGGCATGTTGAATGTTACCTTTGACGTTTTCGGACAATCTGTCAACATATTTGAGATCGGCGGACGAGTTGAAGGACTTGAAAAATCAATCGTAGAATATTTAAGATCAGATAGGTTTTTTGCAAACACATATCCGGGCATGAGATTGAGGGATTTTTTAGACGACGGCAAAAGTGTCAGTTATTCTTTTTTTCTATTTCTTTCCTTCCTTTTGTTTTTTCCCGTGTTCTAAGTAGATGTTATAAACTGATAATATAGCTTCCGAACGTTTGATTTGTTTATAAAGTTAATAAAGAGTTTCTGTTTCATTTTAAATTATTTTTATAATTCTAGCATATATCTATTAATTTATGTTTTATATATTGAGCGTAATAGATGCATTTTTTTCATATCTAGTTTTCAGGCCATCCTGATGATCTTCGTGGTTCACTTTATCTAAGAATGTTTGGTAATGAAATATTTACCATGGATATTAAGGAAGCAGAGACTTACCTATCTGGGCGTGACATTATTTCCAAAATTATAAAAGATGATAACTTCACATTTACGTAAATAAACATCTTCAGTTCTTACTTCAGATTTAATTTTAATAGTGTTTTAAAAAGCAACATTTAATACGTTTTGGTGTTATAATATCCATTATATTTTGCTATTCACCTATAAGTTTAATTTTGTTAAATGAATAAAAATTGTTTGACATACATATTCTATAAGGATCTTACACCGGCTGCCTGTACAGACCGCGGTTTCTCTTACACAAGTTGGTTGTGTAAAACAGGTTTTTCTAGCACCGGTGTAAACAGTAAATAATCCTGTCTGATATGCAAGAATTTGCTATATGTTACTGTTGCTCAAACTTTATTATAGCCTGTTTCATTTGATAATAATCAAATCATGTACTTTATGCTCAACGAAATCTATCTTTTTGTTTTCATTTCAGTCAATCAGTGATGTTTCTGGACAGCAAATACATGGTCCCAACTAGCTCTGGATTTACACTCAGTCTTACTTTGAGAGGGACTGCCACCGTCGATTTATTCAAACAAAGTAGAAGAGATGTGATTTACAGTGACAAATTTGGTATTTCCAGACGATTTCGACCAAGGTATTTCAAATAGAACATCGGCAGATATGCCAAATTAACATGCTTTGACATGTTCTTGGATTTCCATTACATTGACAACTTATGCTTAAAATGAAGTGAAATGATTTCCGAGTTTTAAACCAATATCCGGCAAATTTTGGATAAGATTCACTTTTTTCATCAGGCACTTAGGTGTATTGTATATAATCGACGTACGTCGGGTTCTTCGCGTAACCCGCTTCGCATTTCCATGGTTATTTAAGGCGACTGAGAATATTTTGCAATTAAATGTATGTATGAAACATCAAAATTAAAACAGGTATGAACTTGATTATAATTAAGACTACATGAAATATATCAGAATAATAAACAAAATCCTGATAATTGTGAATCATTCCTCGTATAAAAATGGCATGCCTTTAGATTTTTTAACAGGTCTAACCAAAGATAAGTACGCGTGACTGTGAAAAGAACTTGTGAATTCTTTTTTCTAAATTTAAGAATATATACTTAATGCCGTTTATATCCAATAACCAATGCCAAAGGTGTCATATATTTAAAAGTTTTATTTGAGGTAACATAATAAACACGTAAAGTAATAAAGAAATTATTTCAGACTTGAAATGAAACTGATTAGACTTGCTTGTTAGCATTTTTTGTACACATGAAAAAAAAAAACATAATCTTATTTTTGTATATTGTACAGTGCTACAGTATATATAGCATCGATGATGAGTGTGGACACATTCGTTACCAAGTCGGGAATAAAATTGGTTTCTACACTCCATACTAGTACATCACTACAGGGGAAAATAAAAACAACTAAGAATGGCTTCTTCACCTTTGAATATGAAATGCCAGACACTGTTATGAAAATCTTTGGAATCAAGTAGGTTAATTATTTTCTTCTTGAACTTGGTTTCTTTGTGTATTGGGATTCTATACAATTCTTACTGCTTCAATTTTTTAAAAATGTTTTCAATATTGAAGCACCATTGAATAGTAAGAGGGTATTAAAATTTGAATAATTTCTGTTATTTCAGTTCTTCAATTTATATTGTACGTACAGACAGTGAGCTCGAGCAGACAAAAATAGGAAAACATAAAAGGAATCTTTCATACTGCTACAAACAGATGACTGTAGCAGGTCTCGAACTTTGTGCAGAAGTCGAGTACCCGTTACATAGCGTGACAAGTACAACACCTTACTTTCCATTGACAGGGCCTTTTGGGGCTGGTGTTTATTTATATAACAGAGATACTCACGTGAAATACATTATTGTAGCCAAGTCAGTAATAGTAAGTTATACTTATTTTCATGTATACCTGTTCATAACTTTGATTAGAAGTTACAAATAGTATAATTTAGGTAGGTAACCGCTTAAACTAATTGCCAAGTAGTTTATTGCTTTTGAATTTATCATATTGCTAATAGTTTTGGTCAAAGTATACCACTGATTCAAAAATTCACTGATATCAATACAGGATATTTTTCTATGATTGTAGAGTCGAGGAAAAAGAATAATAAATTTTACGTTCAACACGCCAGGTTCAAGTATCAACAGGCAAATGAAATTTTATTTATTCTTGAACACAAATAACGGTATCATTAAAACAATTATCTCATCACCCTGGAAACGCATAGATTTTGAAGGTATGATATATTTCGTAAATAATAACTTCCAAATTCTATTTGATTAAATCAGATAATAACTTATTGCACGTATGCGCGGAATTTCATTTTAAAACACTTTTGTAAAATAAATCTTTCAATTAAGTCTTGGTTAAATTGCAATTGATATTAAAATAACGAAAACGAAATTTGCAACAGGCAAGATAAAATATTATTTTATAACTACCACTGAATTATTAAATGTGGGATATGAAGGTCCTGTCTCGCTCTACTACTCACTCAACCGGAAGCTGCATATGAATTATGACACTGCACTGTGATGTAATGTGTTACTTCATTGTTGTACAAAACACACTGCTCGAAGTATTCACTTTTTTCTCGATAAATGTCTTGCCATAGTAACTTTCATTTTCAATTAGATCAACAATAAACATTTATAATATTTAAATATGGCTCTACATGTATTTTCTTTTTCTTTATTTATAAGTATTGAATGTTTTAAGAATTAAGTATACCATAACACTTTCATTTTCAGGCAAATTTATCGTGAACAATAAAGGAGGTACTACAAAAGCAAAATTAATCATCGACGACAAAATTCCGATTTCTCTTGATATAAGATTTGGGGAAAGAAAATACAGAAAATCAGACAATTTTCAAGGCGTCATGTACGTAGCTCGACACTCAAATAATCTATCAATTTCTACTTGAATGAAACTTTAAACTCTTCTCAAAAGTCAGTGGCTATCATATTTATGTACCAAATTTAATATTTGATCATGTAAAACAAACCTTTGGTAAGTTTATTTTTCATGATTAAAGCATAAAATTGCTATAGTACAACCCTTACAAAGGCCAGTATCACACATATTAGGAGCTGAGTTAATTAGTCAAACGGTTATCTAACATGGCAAAATGAGAATTGTTGCAGGCTACAATATTAATCAAAGGTTAGTCGCCTTCATATTCATATGAAGATTATATCAGCTGATAATGAAAAACTAGCTTAAATGTTATTTTTTCCTAATCTATGAGTAAAATTTTTGGTAATTGCTTTATATAACCATACAAAGTCCGAAATCGCAGAGATGTATGAAGTGAATATCAAAGCTAAAAACAATGCAATCATTCAGGCTAAAGGATATAGCTGCAGCTACTCTTTCTAAGCTGTAACGACAAAGTTTACTCAAAACGTGATGTCCTATCATTATTCTATCGACTTTTTAACAGTAAATTGAAATCACACACGTGACGTGTGAAAGATTTTGTCTTTTTCCTCTTTCAGAAATTTTGAAGCTGGAAATTATCCAGAGTTAAACACGAAAATCGTAGGTGAACTTAGTGAAACACGTTCAAACCAAGTAGATGTACAAACGAATGTAGATATATGGTATGGGCCCGATTTTCAAAATGAGGCCAAACATATTGTCTTAAGATTGGATATAAAAAAGACGAGCGATTACAGGGAACCGTCAGCTAGTATTCTAACAAGCATAAAATATCCCGCACTTGTAAGTCAAATTTACGAGCAATATAAATTCAGTCTAGATTTGAAACTTATTTATACTCATCAAAAATGTTATCTGTGTCTATGCAACGTTATCCGATAAATATTCTATCATTTAGGAAGGATATTTTTTCCGTTTTCTTCACCTAATGAAAAATAATGAAGTAGTAGTATTATGGGGTGATTAGCCAGTTTGTTCCCTATAAGTTGCGACTTCTTTGTAGCATGTTGCAACTACTGTGCAGCAGACGACATAAAAAGTCATTCAACCAGTTAACCTTTGTAAATTACACAAGAACTTGAGGTACTGATCGACCCTGTAATTTGCTTAATTGCATAAGTAAAATAAGAGTAGTAGATCATACATAACTTATATCACAATTAAAGGGCCATAACTCTGAAAAAAACGATTGAACTGGGAAATGCCGACAACCTGCACAACTCCACTTGTTTCTTATCATTCCTGTATAGTTTGGATGAAATTGCACACGTAGTTTTTGGGGAGTGACCCGGACAAATCTTGTGCCGGACAGACGGATGGACAGACAACAAAAAATAATCCCTACAAGTGGTTGGTACTTTGTACAATGTACCAGGAGCTGTGTGACTGGAGATACAAAAATCTTTCGCAGGCCAAAACCCAGTGTTCATTTAAGGCTCATAATCAAGTCCAAAAATCACTTAACGGGAAAAACCCTTATCGTATGCGCAAGTACTTGAGATACCGATTACCAGTAAACTTTCACTGAAATAACATAAGTATTTTGAAGGAATAAGTCCGGACAAACTTTAAAATAAAAATCTTTGAAAGGCCATAACTCTGACAAAAATCATTGAACCGGAAAATGCAGATGATATACACAACAACACTTAGAACTGATCATTCCTGTAAAATTTAGATGAAATTGCAGCAGAAGATTTTGATTAGTTTTAGACGGACGGGCAGATGGACAGACAGACAGACGATGGAGAAATGATCCCTATTTGACACAAAACGACTCTGTAGAATATCTTTCAATTTAAAAGATGTAAGTTCTCAAGAAAGTGGGTATCTTTTCCCCCAAGGACAATGAGGTTTGCCAATGTTACAGTCCATGGAAAATGCAACATGCCAAACATTTTAAAGCACTGCTTACAATTTATATAATTTGGTTTTTCAATATTTATTTTATTTCTAAAATTAATATTGCAGGATGTTGATATTCATTTGAAAGGGGAATATGCGGCAAAGAAAGACAGGAAATTACATAAGCATGAAGCATTTATGTGCGTATGTCTAGAGTCAATATAATTAATAAGAAAACTCATTAACACGAAATATATAAAAGTCAAACCAGAAACTAAAAAAAACACGGTTAAACTAGAAATTTGGCTGATTGCAATATTTAATAAGATATAAAGCTTAATACATGTATAGTTAAATACTGTTTCTAAGCCGAATAAACAAAGTAAACCCGAAAACATAATGTCCTTTTATTGACCCATGGATTTATGTGTTCAATTTTTGTTTGTTTGCTACTCTTACAGAAATTTTGAAGCTAGATATTATCCAGAGTTAAACACGAAAATCGTAGGTGAACTTAGTGAAACACGTTCAAACCAAGTAGATGTACAAACGAATGTAGATATATGGTATGGACCTGACTTTCAAAATGACGCCAAACATATTGTCTTAAGATTGGATTTGAAAAAGACGAGCGATTACAGTGAACCGTCAGCTAGTATTCTTACAAGCATAAAATATCCCGCACTTGTAAGTCAAATTTACGAGCAATATTACAATTTGATACTATTTATTAAGTCAGTCAAAACTTGAAAATATTCCATACTTGTCTAAAATGTTTATCACTTTCAAGCAACGCTAACCGATAAATATTCTTTCATTACTATTAGGAATGATATTATATTTCTGTTGTATCATATAAATTTTAAACTTAAAGATAGCCGATGAAGCAGTAGTATTGAGAGTTTTGTGGTTTAATCCCTATATGTCGCGTGTTGCAGCTACTTTCTAGCAAGCGAGATTTGCAGCTGTAAATGTCTATTGAAAATGCAACATGCCAAATATCCAAGCAATGCGTTATTATCATATCATTTGGTTTTTTCCCGAAATTAATATTGCAGGATGTTGATATTCAGTTAAAAGGGGAAGGCGTGGAAAAAACGATAAACAGCACATTACAAAAACTTGAAGCAATCATGTACGTATGTCTAACGTCAACATAATTAATAAGAAAACCTATCAATAATAAATATTTCATAGTCAAAACAAAAACTAGAAAAAGTGCCAAACACGGTTAAACTAGAAATTTGGCTTATCGTAATATTTAAAACGATATAAAAGCTTTATACATGTATAGTTAAATACTATTTATCAGCTGTAACAACAAAGTTAACCCGAAAACATGATGTCCTATTATTGAACCATGGATTAATTTGTTAAATTTTTGTTTGTTTGCTCCTCTTACAGAAATTTTGAAGCTAGAAATAATCCAAAGCTAAACACAAAAATTGTTGGTGAACTTAGTGATACACGTTCAAACAAAGAGACGAACATAGATATATGGTATGGACCTGATTTTCAAAATGACGCCAAACATATTGTCTTAAAACTGGATATGAAAAAGACGAGCGATTACAGTGAACCGTCAGCTAGTATTCTTACAAGCATAAAATATCCCGCATTTGTAAGTCAAATTTACGAGCAATATTAATTCAGTCTAGATTTGAAACTAATTTATACTCATCGATAATGTTATCTGTTTCTATGCAACGTTATCCGATAAATATTCTATCATTTCAATTAGGAAGGATCTTATTTTTCCGTTTTCTTAACTTAATGAAAAATAATGAAGTAGTAGTATTATGGGGTGATTGACCAGTCTGTTCCCTATATGTCGCGGCTACTTTGTAGCATGTTGCAACTACTGTGTAGCAGACGACATAAAAAGTTATTCAACCAGTTAACCCTTGTACATTACGCAAGAACTTGAGGTACTGATCGACCCTGTAATTCACTTAATTGCATATGTAAAATGAGAGAAGTAGATCAGACATAAGTTCAATCATAATTTAAGGGCCATAACTCTGAAAAAATGATTGAACTGGAAAATGCCGACAAACTGCACAACTCCACTTGTTTCTTATCATTCCTGTAGTTTGGATGAAATTGCACACGTAGTTTTTGGGGAGTGATCCGGACAAATCTTTTGCCGGACAGACGGATGTACAGACAACAAAATATGATCCTTAAAATTGGTGGCTACTTTGTACATTGTACCAGGAGCTGTGTGACTGGAGATACAAAAATCATTCGCAGACCAAAACCCATTTTTCATTTAAGGCCCATAATTAAGTTCAAAAATCACACAACGGGAAAACCCTTATCGTATGCGCAAGTACTTGAGATACCGATCACCAGTAAACTTTCACTGAAATTACATAAGTATTTTGAAGGAATAAGTCCGAACAAACTTTAAAATAAACATCTTTGAAAGGCCATAACTCTGACAAAAATCATTGAACCGGAAAATGCAGATGATATACACAACAACATTTAGAACTGATCAGTTCTGTAAAATTTAGATGAAATTGCAGCAGAAGATTTTGATTAGTTTCTGACGGACGGACAGATGGACAGACAGACGGTGGAAAAATGATCCCTATTTGACACAAAACGACTCTATAGAATATCTTTCAATTTAAAAGATGTAAGTTCTCAAGAAAGTGGGTATTTTTCCCCCAAGGACAATGAGGTTTGCCAATGTTACAGTCCATGGAAAATGCAACATGCCAAACATTTTAAAGCACTGCTTACTATTTATATAATTTGTTTTACACAATTTAATTTATTTCTAAAATAATATTTCAGGATGTTGATATTCATTTGAAAGGGGAATATTCGGCAAAGAAAAACAGGAAATTACATAAGCATGAAGCACTCATGTGCGTATGTCTAAAGTCAAAATAATTAATAAAAAACTCATTAACAAGAAATATATAATACTCAAACCAGAAACTAGAAAAAATGCCAAAAACGGTTAAACTAGAAATTTGGCTGATTGCAATATTTAATAAGATATAAAGATTAATACATGTACAGTGAAATAATGTTTCTAAGCTGAATAAACAAAGTAAACCCGAAAACACGATGTCCTATTATTGAACCATGGATTTATGTGTTAAAGTTTTGTTTGTTTGCTGCTCTTACAGAAATTTTGAAGCTAGAAATAATCCAAAGCTAAACACAAAAATTGTTGGTGAACTTAGTGATACACGTTCAAACAAAGAGACGAACATAGATATATGGTATGGACCTGATTTTCAAAATGACGCCAAACATATTGTCTTAAGATTGGATATGAAAAAGACGAGCGATTACAGGGAACCGTCAGCTAGTATTCTTACAAGCATAAAATATCCCGCACTTGTAAGTCAAATTTACGAGCAATATTAATTCAGACTAGATTTGAAACTAATTTATACTCATCGAAAATGTTATCTGCTTCTATGCAATGTTATCCGATTAAATTATTCTATCATTTCAATGAGGAAGGATCTTATTTTTCCGTTTTCTTCACCGAATTAAAAACAATGAAGTAGTAGTATTATGGGGTGATTGACCAGTTTGTTCCCTATATGTCGCGGCTACTTTGTAGCATGTTGCAACTACTGTGTAGCAGACGACATAAAAAGTCATTCAACCAGTTAACCCTTGTACATTACGCAAGAACTTGAGGTACTGATCGACCCTGTAATTCACTAAATTGCATAAGTAAAATGAGAGGAGTAGATCAGACATAAGTTCAATCATAATTAAAGGGCCATAACTCTGAAAAAAAGATTGAACTGGGAAATGCCGACAAACTGCACAACTCCAATTGTTTCTTATCATTCCTGTAGTTTGAATGAAATTGCACACGTAGTTTTTTTGGCAGTGATCCGGACAAATCTTGTGCCGTACAGACGGATGGACAGACAACAAAATATGATCCCTATAAATGGTGGCTACTTTGTACAATGTATCAGGAGCTGTGTGACTGGAGATACAAAAATCTTTCGCAGGCCAAAACCCATTTTTCATTTAAGGCCCATAATTAAGTCCAAAAATCACTCAACGGGAAAACCCCTATCGTATGCGCAAGTACTTGAGATACCGATCACCAGTAAACTTTTACTGAAATTACATAAGTATTTTGAAGGAATAAGGCCGAACAAACTTTAAAATAAAAATCTTTGAAAGGCCATAACTCTGACAAAAATCATTGAACCGGAAAATGCAGATGATATACACAACAACACTTAGAACTGATCATTCCTGTAAAATTTAGATGAAATTGCAGCAGTAGATTTTGATTAGTTTTTGACGGACGGACAGATGGACAGACAGACAGACGGTGGAAAAATGATCCCAATTTAACACAAAACGGCTCTATAGAATATCTTTCAATTTAAAAGATGTAAGTTCTCAAGAAAGTGGGAATTTTTCCCCCAAAGACAATGAGGTTTGCCAATGTTACAGTCCATGGAAAATGCAACATGCCAAACATTTTAAAGCACTGCTTACTATTTATATAATTTGTTTTTACACAATTTAATTTATTTCTAAAATTAATATTGCAGGATGTTGATATTCATTTGAAAGGGGAATATGCGGCAAAGAAAGACAGGAAATTACATAAGCATGAAGCATTTATGTGCGTATGTCTAGAGTCAATATAATTAATAAGAAAACTCATTAACAAGAAATATATAATAGTCAAACCAGAAACTAGAAAAAATGCCAAAAACGGTTAAACTAGAAATTTGGCTGATTGTAATATTTAAAACGATATAAAGCTTAATACATGTATAGTTAAATACCGTTTCTAAGCTGTATCAACAAAGTAAACCCGAAAACATGATGCCCTATTATTGACCCATGGATTTCTGTGTTAAATTTTTGTTTGTTTGCTCCTCTTACAGAAACTTTGAAGCTAGAATTAATCCAGAGCTAAACACAAAAATTGTTGGTGAACTTAGTGATACACGCTCAAACAAAGAGACGAATATAGATATATGGTATGGACCTGATTTTCAAAATGACGCTAAACATATTGTCTTAAGATTGGATATGAAAAAAACGAGCGATTACAGAGAGCCGTCAGCTAGTATTCGTACAAGCTTAAAATATCCCGCACTTGTAAGTCAAATTTATGAGCAATATTACAATTTGATACTTTTTATTTAGTCAGTCAAAACTTGAAAATATTCCATACTTGTCTAAAATGTTTATTATTTTCAAGCAACGTTAACCGATAAATATTCTTTCATTACTATTAGGAATGATTTTATATTTCTGTTGTATCATATAAATTTTATACCTAAGGATAGCCAATGAAGCGGTAGTATTGAGAGTTTTGAGGTTTAATCCCTATATGTCGCGTGTTGCAGCTACTTTGTAGCAAGCGAGATTTGCAGCTGTAAATGTCTATTGAAAATGCAACATGCCAAATATCCAAGCAATGCGTTATTATCATATCATTTGGTTTTTCCCCGAAATTAATATTGTAGGATGTTGATATTCAGTTAAAAGGGGAATGCTTGGAAAAAAAGATTAACAGCAAATTACAAAAGCTTGAAGCAATCATGTACGTATGTCTAACGTCAAAATAATTAATAAGAAAACCTATCAATAATAAATATTTAATAGTCAAAACAAAAACTAGAAAAAGTGCCAAACACGGTTAAACTAGAAATTTGGCTGATTGTAATATTTTAAACGATATAAAAGCTTTATACATGTATAGTTAAATACTATTTATCAGCTGTAACAACAAAGTTAACCCGAAAACATGATGTCCTATTATTGAACCATGGATTTATGTGTTAAATTTTTGTTTGTTTGCTCCTCTTACAGAGACTTTGAAGCTAGAAATAATCCAGAGCTAAACACAAAAATTGTTGGTGAACTAAGTGAAATACGTTCAAACCAAGAATATGTACAAACGAATGTAGATTTATGGTATGGACCGGATTTTCAAAATGACGCCAAACATATTGTCTTAAGATTGGATATGAAAAAGACGAGCGATTACAGTGAACCGTCAGCTAGTATTCGTACAAGCTTAAAATATCCCGCACTTGTAAGTCAAATTTATGAGCAATATTACAATTTGATACTTTTTATTTAGTCAGTCAAAACTTGAAAATATTCCATACTTATCTAAAATGTTTATCACTTTCAAGCAACGTTAACCGATAAATATTCTTTCATTACTATTAGGAATGATATTATATTTCTGTTGTATCATATAAATTTTACACTTAAGGATAGCCAATGAAGCGGTAGTATTGAGAGTTTTGTGGTTTAATCCCTATATGTCGCGTGTTGCAGCAAGTGAGATTTGCAGCTGTAAATGTCTATTGAAAATGCAACATGCCAAATATCCAAGCAATGCGTTATTATCATATCATTTGTTTTTTTTCACGAAAATAATATTGCAGGATGTTGATGTTCAGTTAAAAGGCGAGTGTGTGGAAAAAAAGATAAACAGCAAATTACAAAAGCTTGAAGCAATCATGTACGTATGTCTAACGTCAAAATAATTAATAAGAAAACCTATCAATAATAAACATTTCATAGTCAAAACAAAAACTAGAAAAAGTGCCAAACACGGTTAAACTAGAAATTTGGCTTATCGTAATATTTAAAACGATATAAAAGCTTTATACATGTATAGTTAAAGACTATTTATCAGCTGTACAACAAAGTTAACCCGAAAACATGATGTCCTATTATTGAACCATGGATTTATGTGTTAAATTTTTGTTTGTTTGATCCTCTTACAGAGACTTTGAAGCTAGAAATAATCCAGAGCTAAACACAAAAATTGTTGGTGAACTAAGTGAAATACGTTCAAACCAAGTAGATGTACAAACGAATGTAGATTTATGGTATGGACCGGACTTTCAAAATGACGCCAAACATATTGTCTTAAGATTGGATATGAAAAAAACGAGCGATTACAGAGAGCCGTCAGCTAGTATTCGTACAAGCTTAAAATATCCCGCACTTGTAAGTCAAATTTATGAGCAATATTACAATTTGATACTTTTTATTTAGTCAGTCAAAACTTGAAAATATTCCATACTTATCTAAAATGTTTATTATTTTCAAGCAACGTTAACCGATAAATATTCTTTCATTACTTTTAGGAATGATATTATATTTCTGTTGTATCATATACATTTTACACCTAAGGATAGCCAATGAAGCGGTAGTTGTTGAGAGTTTTTAGGTTTAATCCCTATATGTCGCGTGTTGCAGCTACTTTCTAGCAAGCGAGATTTGCAGCTGTAAATGTCTATTGAAAATGCAACATGCCAAATATCCAAGCAATGCGTTATTATCATATCATTTGGTTTTTTCCCGAAATTAATATTGCAGGATGTTGATGTTCAGTTAAAAGGCGAGTGTGTGGAAAAAAAGATAAACAGCAAATTACAAAAGCTTGAGGCAATCATGTACGTATGTCTAACGTCAAAATAATTAATAAGAAAACCTATCAATAATAAATATTTAATAGTCAAAACAAAAACTAGAAACAGTGCCAAACACGGTTAAACTAGCAATTTGGCTAATCGTAATATTTAAAACGATATAAAAGCTTTATACATGTATAGTTAAATACTATTTATCAGCTGTAACAACAAAGTAAACCCGAAAACATGATGCCCTATTATTGACCCATGGATTTCTGTGTTAAATTTTTGTTTGTTTGCTCCTCTTACAGAAACTTTGAAGCTAAAAATAATCCACAGCTAAACACAAAAATTGTTGGTGAACTTAGTGAAACACGTTCAAACCAAGTAGATGTACAAACGAATGTAGATATATGGTATGGACCGGATTTCCAAAATAACGCAAAACATATTGTCTTTAGAATGGATATGAAAGAGACGAGCGATTACAGGGAACAGTCAGCTAGTATTCTTACAAGCATAAAATATCCCGCACTTGTAAGTCAAATTTACGAGCAATATTACAATTTGATACTTTTTATTCAGTCAGTCTAAACTTGAAAATATTCCATACTTGTCTAAATGTTTATCATTTTCAAGCAACGTTAACCGATAAGTATTCTTTCATTACTATTAGGAATAATATTATATTTCCATTGTATCATATAAAGTTTACACCTAAGGATAGCCAATGAAGTGGTGGTATTGAGAGTTTTGAGGTTTAAGCCCTATATGTCGCGTGTTGCAGCTACTTTGTAGCAAGCGAGATTTGCAGCTGTAAATGTCTATTGAAAATGCAACATGCCAAATATCCAAGCAATGCGTTATTATCATATCATTTGGTTTTTTCCCGAAATTAATATTGTAGGATGTTGATATTCAGTTAAAAGGGGAATGTGTGGAAAAAAAGATAAACAGCAAATTACAAAAGCTTGAAGCAATCATGTACGTATGTCTAACGTCAAAATAATTAATAAGAAAACCTTTCAATAATAAATATTTAATAGTCAAAACAAAAACTAGAAAAAGTGCCAAACACGGTTAAACTAGAAATTTGGCTTATCGTAATATTTAAAACGAAATAAAAGCTTTATACATGTATAGTTAAATACTATTTATCAGCTGTAACAACAAAGTTAACCCGAAAACATGATGTCCTATTATTGAACCATGGATTTATGTGTTAAATTTTTGTTTGTTTGCTCCTCTTACAGAGACTTTGAAGCTAGAAATAATCCAGAGCTAAACACAAAAATTGTTGGTGAACTAAGTGAAATACGTTCAAACCAAGAATATGTACAAACGAATGTAGATTTATGGTATGGACCGGATTTTCAAAATGACGCCAAACATATTGTCTTACGATTGGATATGAAAAAGACGAGCGATTACAGGGAACCGTCAGCTAGTATTCTTACAAGCATAAAATATCCCGCACTTGTAAGTCAAATTTACGAGCAATATAAGTTCAGTCCAGATTTGAAACTAAATTATACTCATCGAAAATGTTTATTATTTTCAAGCAACGTTATCCGATAAATATTCTATCATTTCAATTAGGAATGATCTTATTTTTCCGTTTTCTTCACCTAATGAAAAACAATGAAGTAGTAGTATTATGGGGTGATTGACCAGTTTGTTCGCTATATGTCGCGGCTACTTTGTAGAATGGTGCAACTACTGTGTAGCAGACGACATAAAAAGTTATTCAACCACTTAACCCTTGTAAATTACGCAAGAACTTGAGGTACTGATCGACTCTGTAATTCACTTTACTGTATAAGTAAAATAAGAGTAGTAGATCAGACATAACTTAAATCATAATTAAAGGGCCATAACTCTGAAAAAATGATTGAACTGGAAAATGCCGACAAACTGCACAACTCCTTTTGTTTTTTATCATTCCTGTATAGTTTGGATGAAATTGCACACGTAGTTTTTGGGGAGTGATCCGGACAAATTTTGTGCCGTACAGACGGATGGACAGACAACAAAAATGATCCTTAAAAGTGGTGGCTACTTTGTACAATGTACCAGGAGCGGTGTGACTGGAGATACAAAAATCATTCGCAGGCCAAAACCCATTTTTCATTTAAGGCCCATAATCAAGTCCAAAAATCACTCAACGGGAAAACCCCCATCGTATGCGCAAGTACTTGAGATACCGATCACCAGTAAACTTTCACTGAAATTGCATAAGTATTTTGAAGGAATTAGTCCGAACAAACTTTAAAATAAAAATCATTGAAAGGCCATAACTCTGACAAAAATCATTGAACCGGAAAATGCAGATGATATACACAACAACACTTAGTACTTATCATTCCTGTAAAATTTAGATGAAATTGCAGCAGTAAATTTTGATTAGTTTTTGACGGACGGACAGATGGACAGACAGCCGATGGAGAAATAATCCCTATTTGACACAAAACGACTCTATAGATTAAAAGATATAAGTTCTCAAGAAAGTGGGTATTTTTTCCCAAGGACAATGAGATTTGCCAATGTTACAGTCCATGGAAAATGCAACATGCCAAACATTTTAAAGCACTGCTTACTATTTATATAATTTGTTTTTACACAATTTAATTTATTTCTAAAATTAATATTGCAGGATGTTGATATTCATTTGAAAGGGGAATATGCGGCAAAGGAAAACAGGACATTACATAAGCATGAAGCACTTATGTGCGTATGTCTAAAATCAATATAATTAATAAGAAAACTCATTAACAAGAAGTATATAATAGTCAAACCAGAAACTAGAAAAATTGCGAAACACGGTTAAACTAGAAATTTGGCTGATTGTAATATTTAATAAGATATAAAGATTAATACATGTATTGTTAAATACTGTTTTTAAGCTGTATCAACAAAGTAAACCCGAAAACACGATGTCCTATTATTGACTCATGGATTTCTGTGTTATATTTTTGTTTGTTTGCTCCTCTTACAGAAACTTTGAATCTAGAAATAATCCAGAGCTAAACACAAAAATTGTTGGTGAACTTAGTGGAAACCAAGTAGATGTACAAACGAACATAGATATATGGTATGGACCAGATTTTCAAAATGACGCTAAACATATTGTCTTAAGTTTGGATATGAAAAAGATGAGCGACTACAGAGAATCATCAGCTAGTATCCTTACAAGCATAAAATATCCCGCTATTGTAAGTCAAATTTACGAGCAATATTTGTCAATTAATGATTTTAACTTCATATTTAGAATAGATTTGAATCTTTTCTAGCAATCTCGTCGAACTTGTATATATATTTTTCTAATAAATATTTTAACGTTAGCATTGAGAAGGAACTTTGATCTCTGTTTTATCATATAATGTATACACTTTTTAACAAAACTAATACAAAATTGAGCTTAGAGTTTATCGCTATATGGCAATAAAAAGTCCACTGAAAATGTTACATAAAAACATATTAGCTCTGTATATTTTCATTATAACATTACACTATTAAAATAGTTCACAATTGCTATTTTAGGACGTTGATATACATTTTGGTGGAGACTATGTCTGTGAAAACAGCAAGATATGGTCAAGTTTGGTGTTGCATTCTGGACAAAGAAAGCCTATAAAAACAAGTTTCAGAGTCGACGTCAAGGGCAAATGGCGTTTTACAAATATCAATGTTGCCGAATATATTTTAATTGTACCCCAACATAGTATAGATGAATATTTTATATACTCAGCTGAGAGGACTTTAGAGCGAAATTTCAAAACTACATTGAAAGTTCGATTGAAGAGAGGTGAGAATAATGAAATTACAAGTTTAATAATACCAAGTACGGATACTTTTACGATAATTATAGACATAAAACTTTTTGGTCAGAGTCTAGCTAACATGAAATTAGAGTTCAAAGAAAGGGAGAAGATTTATTCTGCTCGCATGTCTTTTGAAAGCAGTCACAGAAAATACGAAAGTTACATGACATTACTTTTACATGACTATTTGCCGCCCTCTGAACATTTAACGGGATATATAGCGGTCATTTTTCCTACTAGAATTGTCATCTTCGATATTTTCTACGTATTTTCCGGAAAGGGTTCCAGTTATGAAAGTTTCAAGTTGGACATTGTGAAAAAGTATGATTCAGCAAAAAATATTTTCAAAACTAATAACGGAGTCGATATCACATCTAAAATATCGACACCTTTAAAAGAATTGTCTCGGCTTGCATTCGATGCATCTATTCTCAAGACGAGAGGGAGGATAGTAACAGATACATTTGTCTTCAGATTTGACCCATCGCGTGCATACAAGCTCCGACCAATCGTAACAACGATTGAAATAAACGAAGAGTCAGGCATTAAACTATCTAACGAGTATAACATTGGACCTAACAAAAAATATTTTGAATTAAGAGCTAATGTAAGAAATATTGTTAATTTAAATGTTTTTTACAAATGTCCAACTTCAGGTTTGTATGCTGTAGCTTATAAACATACAGGTAATTTCAAAGACTTTCAATGCCATTTAGAATTTACGAAAAATACTGAAGAATGGCATGGGGATTTTCATCTGAAAACAGTTGGCAGTATCCGAGGAGGAATGCTCAAGTTTAAACCGCCAGCCTCCTCTAGGCTAAACCCTGTTTTAGTGAGTTTAGAGCATACAGGCGATTTAAACGACTTTACATGCCATGTACAATTTACGAAAAGCACTGAAGAATGGAATGGGGATTTTTATCTGAAAACAGTTGGCAGCATCCAAGGAATGCTAAAGTTTAAACCTTCAGCCTCCTCTAGGCTAAAACCTGTTTCAGTGAGTTTAGAGCATACAGGCGATTTAAACGACTTCAAATGTCATGTAGATCTAACGGAAAATTTTGAAGAATGGCATGGGGATTTTCATTTAAAAAAAGATGAAAATATAAAAGGTATGCTCAAACTTAAACCACCTTCCTCCTCTACATTTAAGCCCATTTTAATATCTTTTGAGCATTCGTGGATAAAAATGATATCTCGCACAGACGTTTTAATTGGTGAAGACAAAATAGCATACAAACTTGTTTGTTCTCTTGCACCCATTTTCTGGCATTTCGACTTTCAATTTGGAAAAATTTACATGAATACAGACTTTGTTCTGAAAATAAAGAGTATTTCGGTAGGTTTATCATTCAGGATAACTTCTTCGTTATGTTCGGATGCAACCGGTGACTTTTACATACAAGGCGAATTAACAGACTTTTCATCAACAACCGTACTGGAGATATCAAACAATGAAAACGACGAGCATCTCGTTTACAGAACAATTTCTTCGTCAATTGATTCGCCGACTAAAATAGAGTCGGCGATAGAAAAGCTAGGTTTAACTGTGCAGCGCCATGGTGACATTGCTCGTTCATATACAGTGAAAAGAAGTAGAAGTGCTTTATTACAAATAACATCAGAGCGTTATACAGTAACGTTTAGATTTTGGTCGAAAAAAAGTATCAACTTTGACGGTAGCATCACCTCGCCGATAGAAGGCTACAAATCTTTAACGGCAAATTTCAAACAAAGCAATAACAAAAGGTACTTTAAATGCACTGGAAGCGCTGTCATCGAACATGAAAGGAGCGATTTCAATATTAAACTAGACCGATATATCCCGAAATTACTTGCCAAAGCGACAATAAAACACAATTATGAATATTCGATCCTTGTAGATTTAAAAAAAGACATTAATGCAAAATTCGATATGGTCATTCCCGACATGGATCACATAAGTGGTAATTATACTCAAAGTCTTAGTTCCCACTCGTGTAAAGCATTGGCCCATCTGAAATTGTCTTCAAGCGTTTTCTTTGATTGTGATATTGAATTGAAATGGAAAACCGACTTAATCGTTGTTTTTACTCTAAAAACACCATTCCAAGGATTTGAAAAGATAGTACTGAAAACTAATTATGATAGGTCACTTTCAACTAAGACGTATACCTCCTCTGCAAATCTTCAAATAGAAGAATATGTAGTTGAGGTTTCAACAACAATCGTGGATACACCTAGCTTAACAAATGCAGATTTTACACTGAGAACCCGTGGGGAACTAATGCATTCTTCAGCAAGATCCCATAACGATATCAGAGCCTCTTTTATGCAAAGCGGAAGTTCAAGTGGCACTGTCATGACATACGAAGTCAATATTAACTCATTAACAAGAATTAACGGGAAACTGAATACTGTTCATTTTGGTTCTGAACAAATGTCTGCAGATGTTGAACTAAGGACACCTTTCAAGAATATGGAAGTAAATAAAGTATCTTATAAGCACACGAGAGACTCAAATAACATTCAATGTGACATCAATTCTTCGATATTCGGCAAAGAGGTGACAGGAACTATTGCAGGCTCGGTGCAGCCTCTAAGAATGGATCTAGATATTAAAACACCTTTCAAGGACATTGAGAATATTGGATTAAATGGAATTGTTGAAACCGATGAGAACAAATACTTTGGCAGAATGCAGGCAAAATTAAATCCAAATAACCAATTCCTGATAGAGGGAAAATTATCAACGGCACGTTCTATTGACGGTGCAATTTCTATTTCTACACCCTTTAAGCAAATGAGAAATACATCTATTATGATTTCTGACACAAATTTAGTCACCAGAGGTGTTTCAGAAGGTGTTAAAATAATTCATAATGGCAAAAGAATTGGTACGTAGTGTTTATGGTAAAATATAACAGTAATTTGGAACTATTTATGTCTTATAAACAGAAAAATTTTGTTTCATGTATATAACGCATTTTGTATGTTAAGGATTGTGTGTGTGCGTATCTGTGTATGTTTGTATGATGTATAGAATGTTGGATAGTAAGACACAATAAACAAAGCTCAGCTAACGCGGTGCACTATAACTATTAGAGTTTTCATATTTTTAATTAGCAAAGAGACCCATGATCATTAACTTAACATGACCGTTAAGTTTTATCTTAATAATCCCTATAATACTTAATGACTCCCAGGGTGGGAGCATAATAAGTTCTGTAATTAAACATTTCAAGATATGTTTATAAAACAAGTATATAAATTAAGTTGCCCCAAGGGTTGAACCAATTTTTACCCTAGGGTCATTATTTATGTAACCTTTTGTCCACTTAGCAAAGCTACATGCCTTATATCAAGCTCTGGTCATTTTAGTTTCTAAAATGACCAAAGGGGCCGGGCCAATATCGGATCAAGGTACATATATAAATAAAATCAATATAGCGGAAAATGACAAGGCAATGCTACATACAAGTATTTCAGATAAAGTACTGGAAACAATGATCAAGAAATATAAAAACACTGAAGTGAAGCACGAGGCAACATTTTGCAGATGCTCATGGCACCTGCTGTTGTGAAATATAACAAGAGGGCCAGGATGGCCCTGAAGTCGCTCACCTGTATATAGGCCCACAGAGCGGTACCAGTTTTTACCCCAGGGCTTTTATTTGAACAAACTTGGTAGACACCCATTAGAAGATGTTTCATGCTCAGTATCTAAACTCTAGCTATTTGGGTTTTTTCAAAGAAGATTTTTAAGTTTTTGCTATACACATATAAGGAAAATCAATGACCCTCGGGGCGGGGCCAATTTTGACCCCAGGGCTCTTATTTGAACAAATTTGGTAGCACCCATTAGAAGATGTTTCATGCTAAATATCTTAGCTGTAGCTCTTTGGGTTCTTTAAAAGAAGATTTTTTAAGTTTTTACTATATGCATATAGAAAAAATCTATGACCCCCTGGGGCAGGGCCAATTTTGACCCCAGGGCTTTTATTTGAACAAACTTGGTAGACATCCATTAGAAGATGTTTCATGCTAAATATCTTAGCTATAGCTCTTTGGGTTCTTTAAAAGAAGATTTTTTAAGTTTTTGCTATACACATAAATAAAATCAATGACCCCCGGGGCGGGGCCAATTTTGACCCCAGGGCTTTTATTTGAACAAACTTTGTAGACACTCACTAGAAGATGTTTCATGCTAAGTATCTAAACTCTAGCTATTTGGGTTTTTCAAAGGAGATTTTTTAAGGTTTTGCTATACACATGTAAGGAAAATCAATGACCCCCGGGGCGGGGCCAATTTTCACCCTAGGGCTCTTATTAGAACAAAGTGGGTAGACACCCATTTGAAGATGTTTCATGCTAAATATCTTAGCTCTAGATCTTTGGGTTCTCTAAAAGAAGATTTTTAAGTTTTTACTATATGCATATAGGGAAAATCAATGACCCCCTGGGGCGGGGCCAATTTTGACCCAAGGGCTTTTATTTGAACAAACTTGATAGACATTCACTAGAATATGTTTCATGCCAAATATCTAAGCTCTACCTCTTTGGGTTTTTTAAAAGAAGATATTTTAAGTTTTTTTTCTATCGGTTGCCATGACAACAAGAGTTCTGCATGGAATTAAATTCCTTGAACAATTTTTAAAGGTGACCACCAAAGGAACATTCTTGTGAAGTTTGGATGAAATTGGCTTAGTGGTTTATGAGGAGATGTCATTTAAAGTAAAAGTTTACGGAAGGGCGGACGCCGGACGAAAAGCGATCACAAAAGCTCACCCTGTCACTTTGTGACAGGTGAGCAAGGAGTGATCCTTTGGAAGCAGTGAAACAATATTACAGATCTTTGAAAAAATGCAGTCATAGATCGACTGAATCTGTTCATGAAAGATAATTAAGCTTAAGCGATATTTAATCTTGTTTAACACTCTGGCTCGTTCTTGCATGATGTAATGCACGGAGGAGTACCTAGGTAAAGGTGGAAAGTCGCTATATGACCTTTGTTGAACTTGCAAAATTACCAAAAATACCCCCTATTTATTTTTAATATCACAGATGGAAGGATGGATGGCCAGGTGCATAACAATAGGAGTATTTTAGGTGTATAATCAAATTAGGTTTCAATAGAGAATATGATTTAACATAACAAAACAAAATACAGATTGAAACTTTAATTGTTTTATCTTCTGAGTCTTAATAAAAACGCATGTTTACATTGAGTTGTATCAGCAGGAAAATATTTGTCATAAAAGTCCAGGATGTATTCTTCTGGTTTAAATCCAAATTTCTGGTAGAGTAACATTGCGTTGTTAGTGGCTGAACAATGAAGAGTGACATCTTTACCCATACATGTCTGAAAACAATGAATGTAAGAAATTATTAACATTTCATTTATGAATTCCAGGACAAATCTATTACAAATTAAGCAAGGATAAAAAATCCTTAATTTTATTCTTGTCCGAAGTTAAAAGTTACAACTAAACTTAATATAATGGCAATATTCAGCATCATTAGTGGAGGAAGACACCAGATAACCTCCATGCAGACATCAAAAGAAAACCACCAACATTTGTCTACCTGGCTGGTTCAAAATACTAAGTTTAAAATGTAACCTAGAATAACAAGACAAAAATGTTGTCACAAAACAAGGTTTGACGCCAATAAAATCTGATTGAAATCCTCTCCGACTGTTTGAGCTTCAAAGCACACTGTTTCTGCTAAGGTTTAAAAGTGATTTCAAAGATTTAAAAAAACTCCCGGTGCCCCTTTATGCATAGAAGTTATTAATGCCTTGTGCACAGAAATGCATCGTGAGAAGAAACACAACAAGGAGACACAATTGCCTAAATAAGATCTGAGCGAGAAGCAGTGCACTCCAATTCTCTCAGTGAGTGATTTTCTTAATAAGAGATTATTCTAATCAAAGGTAATAACGACAACGAATGCAGGAAGGAGGATCGACAAACGTGACAACAAAGTTGTGATTACAAAAGGTCACCTTGAATACTTTGTGGAAACATGAACTAGAACGATGTGCATAATCTCTATAAAACCCACTGTTCACACACCAAGTATAATCAACCTTATTTTGTACTTTTTGACAGAATCCATATTTCTTTTAATGGTCTGAATGGTAGCCAGACAGAGGGATGACAAAATTAAAATCATGTACATGACCACCATATGGCCCACTTTCCACAAAGCAAGTATCATCAATTTTACTTATGTTCTTTTTTAGTTGTGGCAGGATGTAAATTTCATTGGATTGACAGAATGACAGATAATTTTACGAGGCAACACTACTGTTCTCTGTATTTAGACGTAGCGAACAATGGACCAAAGAACAATACACTCATTTTTATAAAGATATAGCCAATTATAAAAAGATCAAGCAATATATAGTAGCTTGATCTTCAAGTTTAAGATAATTCATGTGTAAAGGCCATGGTCATTTTTTGTCTGCTGAAGGTCTTTCATTGCACACGGATGAAACAATTCAGCTTTAATAAAATAACAAATTAACAAAGTTATAGCCAGTTGAACATTTCACTAAATTCAAATCCTGATCTCCGTTTATAGATCAGATCTTGTCACAAGTCAGGTCCTGATCTTATATTTAGCATGAAGACAGTTAATGGGGAAACCTTCCTACAGAAACAAATCTACACCTTTAAACATCTCTTAATCTAGCGTTTAAGAATACTCCAAGATTTTAATCATGTTTTTCATATTTGAATTCAATAATCAATCAGAAACAAAGTGGCCACATTAAAATATTAAAAAAATAATAAATAATCATTTATACAAAATAATGGATATTGAAAATAAAAGATTTTTTAACGTTATGCTATCTTTACTAAAAGCTATGCTACATGTTACAGTTTTCATAGTAAATATAAAAAGACAAACTTAAAAGTAAAGGGCTTGAACTTTATAAAATGACCTAATTTAATTAACTATTTTAATATTACCTGTATGAGGTGATATAACATAAATGTTGCCATGTGTGCCCGCCTCCATTCTGGATGAGTAAATATAAATGATATATATGCCTCATTCTGTTTCACGTCTGGTACCATAAATGCAAACCCTATTACAATTTTTCTGCAAAAAAAAAACCCATTTAAGTTAAACTGTGATACAGCAATGTATTTCATTGCCTTTAAATTTTTCATTTCATGTGAGATGAATGAATATATACATGTAAGTTACTATCAGATTAGTTTTACCATAATGCAGACATAATAAACTTTTGAAATGGCAAAGGAATAAATGGAAGAAGTATTTGAGACCCTTTAATTGGCAAGGCAGAAAATTTTACTTCTATAAAACATAATTATTTTTGCAAAATAATATACAAATATTTTAGTAAATCAATGAAAAAGTTTGATATCTCTCTGACATTCTACTCTCATATATCTTAAATATAACTATTCAAGACAAACAGAGTGATAGAATGACATATGAGCCGCGTCAAGACAAAACCAACGTAATACATTTGCGACAAGCATGGCTCCAGACCAGGCTGCGCATCCACGCAGTCTGATCAGGATCCATGCTGTTTGCTTACAAACCCTATTACAAGTAGAGAAACTGATAGCGAACAGCATGGAACCTGATCATACTGCGCAAATGCTCAGCCTGGTCTGGATCCATGCTGGTCACAAACGCATTATGTTTGTTTTGTTGTGACGCAGCTCATATTTCAATCAGTATAAGAGATTTTAGATGAAAACATTTGTATCAAGAAACAAACTAGAAGTAACTATTAGCTTGTTTGAATTCAACTTGTTTCCAACAACCCTTTATTCAACCTCTATTCACTAATACATGTAATATAATCACACAATTCTGAACATTTTTGACCAAACGGCAATGATTCATTTAACTTTTGTAGCGATCCACTATGTAATGCTACAAGCCAAAAATTTATGCCCAAAGCTTGGATCACACAAAAAGTGTATCAGAATACTTTGAAATAGAAAAAAACAGAATCGCTAAATTAAGCCAAACATGGCCAAGTTGTAAAATGTTGCAGGCTCGGTTTAATTGAGCCTGTTCATGGACGGTGCTGGAAAATGCAAGTTACCGTCCACGCCCCCTAGCACCCGCTTAAGCAAAATTCAACATTTTAACACAAAAATGGTTTAAGTCTATGTAAAATAAGTGACCACATGCATGGGGGGATAGATTTTGATATAGAAAGCTAAATATCAAAACTTTGTGTCTTGTAGTTTCTAAGAAAACAAATTTTAAGTAATGTTTCCTATTGATGTCTATGACAATAAAATGGCCAAGGGTTAGGTCATTTTTGACCCCACAGTTATGACAAATCTAACCTTAATGCCATATTCTTTCAGTTTTAAATGGATTTTCTTAACTAAGTCAATGTAAACTAAGTGACCACCTGGGCTAAGCCAAATTTGACACTGTTGACATAATTCATAAAAGATGATGTTACATGCCTGTTACATAACTAACTTGGAAATGTAGTTTGAGATTTTTAAAATTTTATTTCTATTAAAGTCAATGTTTCAAAAGTGACCTAAGGTATGTTACAAACATGATTCAATGGCAAAGGTCCAAGAAGCAATGCTTCAGACCAACTTTGTTCCTGGGGCAATGATTTATAACATTTTTATAACACTTTTGAAGAAGACAACAAAATTGGGTCATATACTACTTGTCTAAACACTCTGAGTACTAGTTTCAGACATAAAATTGTGTAATTTAAGCTTCTTATGCAGTACACTTGACCCACTTGTAGAAGGTCACATTAGAATCATAAAATTTATCAAAGTCTAGTAATTGATTATGTGAAGTTTTATCAAAATCCACCAAATATTTAAGAAGGAAATGTTTTTTTTAAATTGTGGATAACAACACAGAATTTCAAAAATTCACACAATTAACTGAATTTAGTGATTACTAGGATATACCTGAATAAAGCTACACAGCTAAAGTCTGGGTACTGCAGACACTCTGACACTGAAAACAGATAGTGACACATCATTACCATGTTATTATAATGACACATTATAAATATGTTATCATAGTGACACATCATTACTGGGTTATCTACCGTGTTATCATAGTGATACATCATCACCATGTTATCATAGTGACACATTATAAACATGTTATCATAGTAACACATCATTACCATGTTATGGTAGTAACACATCATCACCATGTTATCATAGTGACAATCATAGTGACACATCATCACCATGTTATCAAAGTGCTACATAATTACCATGTTATCATAGTGACACATCATAACTGTGTTATCATAGTGACACTTCATTATCATGTTATCACATCATTACCATGTTATCACAGTTACACATCATTACCATGTTATCATAGTGACACATCATAACCATATTATCATAGTGACACATCATCACTGTGTTATCATATTGACACATCATTACCGTGTTATCATAGTGGCACATTATTATCGTGTTATCATAGTGACACATCATTACTGTGTTATCATAGAGCCACATCATTACCGTGTTATCATAGTGACACATCATTACCGTGTAGTCATAGTGACACATCATCAATGTGTTATCATATTGACACATCATTATCGTGTTATCATAGTGTCACATCATTATCGTGTTATCACATGTTATCACATCATTACCATATTATCACAGTTACACATCATTACCATGTTATCATAGTGACACATCATAACCATATTATCATAGTGACACATCATCACTTTGTTATCTTATTGACACATCATTACCGTGTTATCATAGTGGTACATCATTATCGTGTTATCATAGAGCCACATCATTACCGTCTTATCATAGTGACACATCATTACCTCGTAATCATAGTGGCACATCATCACTGTGTTATCATATTGACACATCATTATCGTGTTATCACAGTGACACATCATTACCTTGTAGTCATAGTGACACATCATTACAGTGTTATCATAGTAACACATCATTACCATGTTATCATAGTGACACATCATTAGGGTGTTATCATAGTGACACATTATACATATGTTATCAATAGTGACACATCATCACCATGTTATCATAGTGACAATCATAGTGACACATCATCACCATGTTATCATAGTGACAATCATAGTGACACATCATCACCATGTTATCATAGTGACACATCATTACCATGTTATCATAGTGACACATCATTACCATGTTATCATAGTGACACATCATTACCATGTTATCATAGTGACACATCATTACCATGTTATCATAGTGACACATCATTACCATGTTATCATAGTGACACATCATTACCATGTTATCATAGTGACACATCATCACCATGTTATCATAGTGACACATCATTACCATGTTATCATAGTGACACATCATTACCATGTTATCATAGTGACAAATCATTACCATGTTATCATAGTGACAATCATAGTGACACATCATTACCAAGTTATCATAGTGACACATCATTACCATGTTATAATTGTGACACATCATTACCATGTTATCACAGTGACACATCATTACTGTGTTATCATAGTGACACATCATTGCTGTGTTATCATAGTGACACATCATTACTGTGTTATCATAGTGACACATCATTACTCTGTTATCATAGTGACACATCATTATGGTGTTATCACAGTGACACATCATTACCTTGTCATCATAGTGACACATCATTACCATGTTATCATAGTGACACATCATTACCGTCTTATCACAGTGACCAAATTGACAATGCTTCAAATCACAAATATCTTCTGGACCAATAAATTTCAGATCATTCCCTTACTATGTTTTTACAGAATACTTATTTCAATTGTGAAAAAATGACCCTAAAATGACGAGTTTAAATTTTTTTTTATTAAAATCAGGCCAATCAGTGCACAAACATACAACTTTCAATTAAATTCTGAGTATATTTCTTTTGCATATGTTTTCCTTTTAAATGCCCTCAGAAGATCAACATACGAAATTCAAGTTTGATGTTTTCAGGCTTTTGGTCTTCCAGTTCTAGTTAATTTCTGAGGAGCAGTATTATAGAAGTTATTTATTTTATTTGCAAATCTATTATCAAAACTGACCATTATTTGACACCATATTTCATAAAACATTAGAAAAGACCATGCACATAATACCCAAGGTCAAATATTTATGCTCTAAACCATGCAGTTTCAGACAAAAATACATTTCCTGAAATTCCTGGCAATACTTAAAACAAGATTTTATTCTAAATTTTTTTTACCTCCAAGGACCCACTGCATTAGACCAAAATCATTTAAAATTTGACTGCATATTGACAGTTTCTATGGTAAATATCACCATTATATTTCTGAAGAAACTGTTGGTAACAACACACAACAGATATCAGAGGATCACAAACCACTTTAGCACTTTGTGCTCAGTTGAGCTAAAAAGATGGAATCTTATCAATTATGTAACTAGATCAGAAAATTTGTTACCTATCAATCTGTCTAATTCTGATTCATTTCTTTATTTATAGAATTTACCCTCAAAAACATCTATGAATAATTTAGTATTATGTCACCTTGAGAGAATATGAAATCATGTTAAGCCTATATTTTCTGCTATGTAATACTTACCAACAGTATACCCTAGCATATATGTATATTGATTAAATTGCTGTCATGAAAATCTGTTTAGAACATTTTATACATTTTCTCCTCAAAATTAATTAGGGCAACCAAATGACCATTACTACCCTCCAGACAGCAAACTCAATAGTTATTAAGTTTATGCACAAATAGACAGATATTCCAACATTTCAGGTTCAAGGGCTTGTTCCGTGATCTTTCTGTGGCATATAAGCATGTGATAATTACAACAAACTGCACAAGCAAGATTCCTTCCTAGTTATGTCCCGGCTCTAAAAATCTGAGTAAATTTCACACTTATACTGGTTGAGGCAGGGAATCAGGCAACATTACAGTTGTATGGGACTGCAGCATTGTCTGTGACAAGGTCATGTTATAAATGTTATCTTACCATCAATTCCTGGCCAGAAACATTCCCTGCATAGAGCATTAACTGATGCTATATGTTGAGGTCTCACATAACAATAATCTATAGGAGGTAAAGGTTCTGGTTTCCATGATGGATCATTTCTGAAATAACACAGAATAATATAAATTAACACAGCATAATATAAATAAATGTCAACCCTCCACCTACTGAACGGGTGCAGTGATTTTACTCTGGATTTGAATTTAGAAGATCATTTGAAGTTAAAGGGATTTTAATGAATATCAAAAGCTACCACCAGTATAAAGCCTGGTCAGACTTGAACAGATGTGCAGACAGGCTGGGCTGTATGCTGGTGGTAAAGGCCAATTACTTTCAGTTTCAGCAGATGAAGGGTTAAAGCAGCACGCCTCCAGATTCATGCAAATTTTGAAAATGTATTTAAAAGTAAATTATTGAGAAGAAATAAAAAAAGAAGCAATTCACGCATTAAAAACAGCACAAAAACAGTACTCACAACCCATGTAACTTACCAAAATGTGGTCAAAATATTCACAAAAAGCCTTTACTGCGTTAGTAACGCAGTAAAAATATGGTAATAAATACTTAATAATCCACCTTTTTCGCATATAAAATATAAATTATTATTTAAATTTTAAATCTGTTTGCTTTTCCTAACATGTTAGTACATTTTTCTCAGGTTTGACTTTAGTGAAATATTTTGTCTCATCTGGAGGCATGCATGCAGCTTTAAGATAATGAACTGAAATTGCATTCTATATAATTTTGTTAATTGGAGTTGTGTTATTGACAAATAACTAAATTACATTGACTGTTTTTAGAGAAAACTAGTAAAACATGTCTGTGAAATCAATTTGGTTGATTTCACAACCACACTAAAGTAAACTATATGTGTAATTTGAAATTGTTTTTTTCTGTAAAATATGTCCTACTTTACACCAAATATGTAAATATTTTGATGAATATCATTTTTAAATCATAACTTTGTTTCATACACAGGTATCCTCAACTAACTTGGTTATTTATCAGCACATGTTGTAACAGTATATCAGTCATTTTGTTTGTTTTGGGTTTTACGTCACATCGACACAGTATAGGTCATATCGTGACGTTCCAGCTTTACTGGTGGAGGAAGACCTCAGGTGCCCTTCTGTGCATTATTTCAGGCATGAACGGGCACCCGAGTAGAACCACCGACGTTCCGTAAGCTAGCTGGATAGCTTCCTCACATGAAAGAATCCAAAGTCCCTGTATGGATTTGAACCTAAAGCAGTGAGAGGCAAGTGATTTGAAGTCAACAACCTTAACCACTCAGCCAAAGATGCCCATATCAGTCATATATTGCTGTGCAGTTCTGTAGCAAAAGTTCTAGAATATGTACTATAACAATTCTGACAGAATGGAAATATTTTTTTTCAGATTATTACTCCATCTGATGTAGGTCTATACCAACAATTTATGTGCAAAATTTCAGATCATTAGCTCCCTTCCTTTTTCCAGAATAATTGTTTTATTTGTCAAAAATGACCTAAAATTGAAAAGCGTTTAAACGCTTTTCACTCAAATCGGACTGAGAATAACACAAACATCTGATTTTCAGTGTATTTCTAGGTATATTTCTTAATTATCTTTTGTTTATATTTCTGTTTTAGGTGCACCAGTTGATCTTTTTGGGAAATTCAAATTTTATGGTTTTAGGCTTATGAACCTCAGTGGAGTTCCCTTAAAATAGCACCTGCTTTTTCTACATGAATTAATTGAAAAAGTAGATTGTTGCTGTGCCTAACTGAAAACTTAAACTTACAAATCTGGGGTCTACTGATTTTAAATCTTAATGAGCTGCTCAAACAGTTTATTTGATATTGAATATAAGTGTAATGATATGTACACATGTTGTTTGCATATTATCTCCGAATTTAAACAAGATATGTTTGTAAAACATGTATGCCCCCTATCTGCAGCCAATTAGTCATGTGATAAGGTTATTATGCATGACTTCTGACCCAGTGATCAAACAATTAATAAGGGTTATCAAGTATCTACTGGTCATGACCTTAACCTTTGACCCCTTGACCCAAAACTCAATAGGGGTCATCTGCTGGTCACGACCAATCATCATACAAAGTTTGAAGTTCCTAGGCCTAAGCATTTTTAGTTAATTGATCGGAAACCGTTTTTACCTACAAGGTCAATGTGACCTTGACCTTTGACCCCTTGACCCAAAATCAATAGGTCATGACCAATCACCATACCAAGTTTGAAGTTCCTAGGCCTAAGGGTTCTTTAGTTATTGATCGGAAACCGTTTTAACATACAAGGTCAATGTGACCTTGACCTTTGACCCCAAAATCAATAGGGGTCATCTGCTGGTCATGACCAATCACCATGCCAAGTTTGAAGTTCCTAGGCCGAAGCGTTCTTTAGTTATTGATCAGAAACCGTTTTTACTTACAATGTCAATGTGACCTTGACCTTTGACCCCTTGATCCCAAAATCAATAGGGGTAATCTGCTGGTCATGACAAATCACCATACCAAGTTTGAAGTTCCTAGGCCTAAGCGTTCTTAAGTTTTTTGATCAGAAAACCGTTTTTACTTACAAGGTCAATGTGACCTTGACCTTTGACCCCTTGACCCAAAACTCAATAGGGGTCATCTGCTGGTCACGACCAATCATCATACAAAGTTTGAAGTTCCTAGGCCTAAGCGTTTTTAGTTAATTGATCGGAAACCATTTTTACCTACAAGGTCAATGTGACCTTGACCTTTGACCCCTTGACCCCAAATCAATAGGTCATCTGCTGGTCATGACCAATCACCATACCAAGTTTGAAGTTCCTAAGCCTAAGGGTTCTTTAAGTTATTGATTGTAAAGCATTTTTACCTACAAGGTCAATGTAACCTTGCCCTTTGACCCCTTAACCCCAATATCAATAGGGGTCATCTGCTGGTCATGACCAATCACCATACCAAGTTTAAAGTTCCTAGGCCTAAGGGTTCTTTAGTTATTGATCGGAAACCGTTTTAACCTAAGAGGTCAATGTGACCTTGACCTTTGACCCTTGACCCCCAAAATCAATAGGGGTCATCTACTGATCATGACCAATCACCATATCAAGTTTGAAGTTCCTAGGCCTAAGGGTTCTTTCGTTATTGATCGGAAAACCGTTTTTACCTACAAGGTCAATGTGACCTTGACCTTTGACCCCTTAACCCCAAAATCAATAGGGGTCATCTGCTGGTCATAACAATCACCATACCAAGTTTGTAGTTCCTAGGCCTAAGGGTTCTTTTGTTATTGGTCAGAAACTGTTTTTACCCAAGAGGTCAATGTGACCTTGACCTTTGACCCCTTGACCCCAAAATCAATAGGGGTCATCTACTGATCATGACCAATCACCATACCAAGTTTGAAGTTCCTAGGCCTTAAAGTTCTTTAGTTATTGATCGGAAACCGTTTTTGCTTACAAGGTCAATGTGACCTTGACCTTTGACCCCTTGACCCCAAAATCAATAGGGGTCATCTACTGATCATGACCAATCACCATACCAAGTTTGAAGTTCCTAGGCCTTAAGGTTCTTTAGTTATTGATCGGAAACCGTTTTTGCTTACAAGGTCAATGTGACCTTGACCTTTGACCCCTTGACCCCAAAATCAATAGGGGTCATCTACTGATCATGACCAATCACCATACCAAGTTTCAAGTTCCTAGGCCTTAAGGTTCTTTAGTTATTGATCGGAAACCGTTTTTGCTTACAAGGTCAATGTGACCTTGACCTTTGACCCCTTGACCCCAAAATCAATAGGGGTCATCTACTGGTCATGACCAATCACCATACCAAGTTTGAAGTTCCTAGGCCTAAGGGTTCTTTAGTTATCACTCGGAAACCATTTGGTCTACGGACCGACGGACCGACAGACCGACGGACCGACAAGTGCAAAGCAATATACCCCCTTTTCTTCGAAATGGGGGCATAATAATTCCTAGATAGTCTAGTATATTAAAGTCTCCATTATTTAACAAAAAAATTATATAATTTCCATGGGCAAAATCAAAGTAGAAAAATTATGATTACATGATTATATTTACATAAGTGGCCTTTCAAAATTTCCCATTTTATATGATGAGAGTTTTATCTATGACATTCATTCTAAACCTGGGTCTATCAAATCACAAAAAGTAAAACAAGACCAGAATATAAAAATTCAAAGTATATAACATCTACATATGAATTAAAGGCAGGCATTATACATGTTATATTTAAATATAGGTCAACTGACATCAAAGTTCCAATATGCATCTGAAACTGAGCCAGTATTTGTTGCTCTCAATAAAACAATGTTGTTAACTGGATCAAAATCAAGACCAAAGTTAAATTCTGAATCTGAAACTGTGCGTGTATTCCAAATTTCATGGCACAAGAAATAGGTTATTGGGTCAAAATTAAAATCTCTGTTAACAAAAATTAGGTCATAGGGTCAAAAGTCAAAGGTAATTCTGCATGAATGAAACTATGCTAAAAGTCCAATTTTCATAGTTTCTCAGTTTACAAAAATAAGACCCCTGGTTTAGAATCTAGGTCAACAAGTGGCATTGTTCAATTTTCCATTTACGATTGTGCCTCTAGTTCAAATTTTATAGCTCACCTAGTAGTGGGGCAAATTTGACCCCAAAGCTATAATTTGTACTAAACTTTGTCATGGTCCAGTAGACAATATTTCATGCCAACTATCTGAGCTGTAGCCCTTCTGGTTTTGAAGGAAATTTCACTAAATGTATAAAGGAACAAGAGCTGTCGGTAGGACAGCAATGCTCGACTATTCTTAGTGCTTGATAGTAAAAAAAAATGCTTGATACAATTACCTCCTCCTGTGTACAGGTTGGGGTAATGATGGTGAACAAGTGTGCAAAGTTTCAAAGCCATATGTCAATGGACTTTGAAAATATTTGAACTATTACAAAAACTTTAACGTAAATTCTAAGTCGACAAAGGGGCATAATTCTGTCAAAATGCTTGATGCAGTTACCTCCTCCTGTCTACAGGTTGGGGTAATGATGGTGAACAAGTGTGCAAAGTTTCAAAGCCATATGTCAATGGACTTTGAAAATATTTGAACTATTACAAAAACTTTAATATAAGTGATTACGCCGACGCAGACGCCGACACTGACGCCGACGCTCGGGTGACTACAATAGCTCTACTTATTCTTATCGAATAGTCGAATTCTTATCGAATAGTCGAGCTAAAAATTATGGATCCCTGGGCGGTGTCAACTTTGACTCCTGGGCTACAATTCTAAAAGAGGTCAACTAGGCAAGGTCTAGCCCTTGTAGATTTGGTATAAATTGAAAACCCATTACCCCTAAGGTCAGCCAATTTTGACCCTACGACTATAATTTGAAACATCTATGTAAAGGTTCAATAGACAATGTCTTAATAGACAGTTTTTGAGAAAAAAAGTTTTTATTTTTTTACTATACATATCATAAAAAGTGCACCCAGAACCCCAAAGAGCAGGGGCCAATTTTGACCTTAGGACTAAAATTTGTGCAATTTTGATAGAGGTCCACTAGAAAATATTTATGCAAAATATCTAAGCTTTAGCCCTTGCAGTTTGGGAGAAAAAGTTTTTTAAAGATTTTTCTTTCGGTTGCCATGACAACCAGAGGTATGCATGGAATATAAAATATTGAGCAATTTTTAGAAAGCTTCATGCCAGGAACTTTTCTGTCCAGTTTCGGCAACATTGTCAGATGGTTTATAAGGAGATGTTGTTTGAAGAAGAAATGACGCAAGACGCAGACCCCAGAGACCTCCAACCATACTAATAGCTCACCAAGAACCTTCAGTTCTGGTGAACTTTAACATCAGAATAAATAATACTCATAGTTTTTGAAAGCAATAAATTGTGCAAACAAAGATAAAAATACTTAAACAAAGCTTTTTGGTCCTAAAATATAAGATTTACTTATAATTTGTAAATAGTCATAAAGTAGCTGATATTAATTTGTAGAGTTATGTGATACAACATTTTACATTTACACTTCAAACTGGTAAGATTCTTTTACAGTATGTACTTTTATAGACATTACAGTACCAACCTGTGTGGATAGGCTTTTATCTCTGCCAATAATCTCATCTTTAATGGTCGTGACTCATAATCTCGCCGGATAAATGGCTTTAAAATCCTGTCAAATATCAATTATTCATGTTAATTGTTATTGTATACTAGATCTACAAGAAAGTTATTTCACCTATATTCAATTTCAGTTATAACTTGTTTGTCTTACTGGTTGTAACTCTGATTTTAACGCATTTTGGAAATATCTTGGTGGTTAATCCACCAAATTGACTTTTCTTGAACACCAACCAGTAATTAACTATTTCTCCACAAGTGACCAACTACTTACCCCAAATGCTTTCTGAATCAGCAGACACAGACAAATAATCATCACACTCAATGTCATAAAACAATTAGCACAGCGAAATTTGTCTCAACATGACCATAAAGTAACAGCATAATTATTTAAATAAGTGAATAAAGTAAATGGTGGGCTAAAAAATAATCTTCAAAAGTTATATGTATCAGAAGTATTAAATCCCACTTCAAAACAAGAATCACATAAATTTTGATAAGGAAAATGTACATAAATGTGCACATTATAAAAGAAAATTGAGAGTAGGAAAACAGATAAAGGCTGATTTTTCTTGTAGACTACACCGACATTACTATGAATAGTTAATGAATCATTCACACAAACAAGGACAAAGTTACTTATATACCCCTTGGCTATTATTTTGTTTATGTATTTTTAGAAAATAAGAACCCTTGACAATGTTTGTGTATAATATATTAATAAAACAGCCCAGCACTCCATTCAACTACAGTGTGAAGACCATTAGAATCTTTAGAAACAGAAATGAGAAGAATGTAAAGCAAAGAGTAGGGAGAGGCAAACTAAGAAAATTATTTTGGTTCTATTATTATATGGTTGATTCCCGAAAAAGTTGTAACATAGAATGTCTCTGTTATTTAATACACAAGAATTATATACGTAAACAGAATAAAATGTTCAGGAACAAAATATTAGTTTGCTATTGTAAGTAGAGTTTAATCTGTTTAGCAATGACTTTGTGCATGCGCATTTGCTTTTAAAGCAATAAATTTAAATTACCATATTTATTTCATACAAGCATTTTGTAAGTATACTTTTTTAATATTGGTTAAAGACAGAAAAGCCGGTTTCCATTGTATACCAAATATCATGAAGTTGTGATGTTACGAAAAATTTTTACCATTGACCATTAATGTCAAAAATTTAACTAAATCAGTAAACAGAAAGTGTATGAGCAACAGACCGCACAGTATGGGACCACAGGTCAATGCTGTATGCCAAATATCAAGAGCCTGTAATAAGAAGTTGCTGAGAAAAATGTTACGAAAATTTCTTACCATTGACCATTAATGTAGAAAATTTAACTAAGTCGGAAAACAGAAAGTGGATGAGAGACAGACCTTAAATCCAAGTCTACAGTATGGAATCATGTGTCAATGCTGTATGCCAAATATCAAGAGGCTGTGATTAGTAGTTGCTGAAGAAAATGTTAAGAAATTTTCTATCATTGACCATTAATGCCAAAAATTTAATTAAGTCGGAAAACAGAAAGTGGATGAGCAACAGACCCCACAGTATGGGACCGTGTGTCAAATATCAAGAGGCTGTGATAAGTAGCTGCTGAGATAACTGTTACGAAAAGTTTTCAACACCAGCCCGCCGCCAGACATTCAACACTTTAACCCAGGTTTGCCCCTGTGCAACCCGGCCAAAAATTAAATCAATAATTTTTGCATCAGATATATAGCTTAGTACACTTTAAGAATTAAATACAGATATGTTAAGTTGCTTGCTATACATAGACTATACAGAAAAACAACTTAATATATATATGACTATGTAAGGACTACACAGACATTCAACTTGCTGTGTCAGTACTACACAGACACTCAACTTGCTATGTCAGTACCATACAGACACTGAATTTGCTGTGAAAGTACTAGACAGACACTCACCTTTCTGTGTATGGAGTACATAGAGAATCACCTTAATGTATAAGGACTTTCTCTGGTTGAGTCTTATATCACACTAACACTATATGAGCTGCGTCACGACAAAACCAACGTAATGGGTTTGCGACCAGCATAGATCCAGATCAGCCTGCGCATCCGCGCAGTCTGATCAGGATCCATGCTGTTCACTTACCAACTCTATTACAAGTGGAGAAACTGACAGCGAACAGCATGGATCCTGATCAGACTGCGCGGATGTGCAGGCTGGTCTGGATCCATGCTGGTCGCAAACCCACTATGTTGGTTTTGTCATGACACGCCTCATATAGATTTTATGACAACAGTCCAGCTTAATAGAATATGGGTAGAACAACCAACATTCTGCAAGCTTGCTGGATAGCTTCCTCAAATAAGAATCCAAAGTCCCTTACCGGCTTCGAACCCACAGTGGTGAGGGGCAAGTGGTTTGAAGTCAACAATCTAATCACACAGCTATGGAAGAGACAATCACTATGCCGTGTGATGACAACATTGACACTCACCTTGCAGTGTAAGGACTACACACAGTATGCAGCTGATCATCTTCATATCCAACAAGTCTATTGAGAAACGAAGGCTGCTGGTACAACTGGGTTCTGGAAAGGTTGTTCACACTTGTCTGTAAAATACAATGTGGAATGGTAGAGGAAATTCTTACACAAAAATTAAATAGTTGTTAAAAATGCAATAATGGGTATTTTCTATTATTTATTAATATACAGTCCAACCCCATTTATTTCTAAGTGCTTAGGACTGAAAATTTACTTCGATTAATCGATGGGTTCGAATCATCCAAATTGAAATATTGTGATCAACGAAAACTACTCCACTTTAGCCAATTTAAACTACCATTTACAACACACTTGCTTCCTGCAATCAATCTAAAAAAAAAATATTAAAGAAAAGATGCGTAAAAATTATTTCATTGGCATAGAAGACATAGATACTTGCATTTTATTCGACATTATGTATGTTCCGTGAAAGTGAAAAGCCTTGATAATGGCCGTGTCGTCACTAAGATATTTACAGCTAAACACTGGTATTTTGGATTAGGGTAAAGGCTCTCAGGTAGCTTTACATTTAATGAAAAAATGTTTTGGATGTTTTGACAAATTCACAAATACGGTATGTATGAAAATCATTGCTGTCAACTTCAAGCAATAACAGTAACAACATCAAACATGGTGCATAGCTTTTCATTTTTGGTAATTAAAGTTGATTAAAGAACACACATAGCATAATTATCATGATTGTCTAAATACACGCACGACTGTTGATATTTATCACAAGTCAACTGGTCAGCGAGTGGATCCGCACCAATTAGTCTGGCTTCGAATAATAGGTGTGAAATTATTTCATAATTGTTTAATTGGGACCGAAATTTTACTTCGAAAAATAGGAGGTATTCGGATAATGCATTTAGAATAATACCTTTATATTTATATTGATTTATATAGAGATAAAAACGGGACTGTATCATAAAGCTGCAAGTTTTCTTCCAATTTTTATCATACCATTTATTTGACTTTGGTGTGAATCTTTCCAAATTCTAAGTAAGTATATTTAGTTAAGCTACCACTGTTTCTTGTAACAAATTGATGTTTCTATTTACAAAATTTGATATTTATTACAATATACCTGAAATTTGTCCAGAATTCTCATGTCTCCATGGTAACAATTGCCAGGATTGTTGATGAGCCTTTCCTGAAAAAAAAAATTAAATGTTAATGAACATAACTTTTACAACACTATATATGATATGTAACTGAGTTCATGGAACTAACCTAGTAGTATGACAGATTGAGTCAAATCATGAATACAATAATTTAAGTGGAATAAAATAAAGTTTAATATTAAAATATTGTCAATCAAATTCTGAGAGCAAAGTCAATTACTTTTTTGAATAAGTGTGGACATCTTTCTTTCAAATACAAAATATAACCTACACCATTTCATACAAACAAAAATTGAAGAGGATATAGAACTATATTTAAATACTTATTTTTGAAGAAGGTAATCATACATAATCATATATTATGTTAAGTGGTTTTTACCCAAGAATATCTTCCTGCATGTATTCTTATTCTCTTTTAATGTTAAAGGGAGTCAACTGAGAAATCATTTTTGTCATTTTTAAACAGAGTTGTCCTTCCTTTAATCACAATGAGGTACAACATATGAGGAGATAATGGGAAATATTTAACAGTTACATCAGACAACACACTAGACTTACAGTATTTAAACCAAAACATCGCTGAGATAATTTGTTCATTTCTGCATCAAGATCAAATTGGGGCACACCATGTTCTCTCTTCAGCTGTTAGATAAAAGAAGAAAAAATAATAAGCACTTGTTATAAAAAAACACATTTGTATTTACACAAGAATTTCACCTTTCCTGGAACATAAATAGTACTTTAAGAGTTGCTAAAACCAAAAATGGCCAATATTCTGTTTTAATGATATGTGCCTATAACAAATCAAACAAATGTAGTTGTTGTAGAACTTATTACACAACTTAAGATATTATAATTTTTTTAATCAAACAAACTAATTTTCTCTACCAAACTCAATACTTCTCAACAACAAAATCTACAGGGATGTGATTTATAAATCCTTTTGTTGGGAAAAGCTTAGCAATGCTACATGCTAATGATTTTGGTGAGGTTGTGTTGGTAGTTTACATTCCAGATAATAACAGAAAGCCACTTTGAATTTATCAGAGCATAGTTCAGCCACCTTATTGATCCTAGGCATGCTGTAAAGCAGTTAACCAGTTTTAGTGGTGCCTTCATTTTTGCAAGGAACTGATAGCTTCTGTATATGCTAGAGCAGAGGTACAGCGAAATGACTGTAGAAAGGAATTTCATAATCAATCAGATGTGAACGGCATTGTCCAAGAGTCAAACCCGGATCATTGGATTCACAGTCCAACACTCTACTTATTGAACTAACCATACTCTGCTACATGCCAAATATCTAAGTTTGAGCAAATCATTGTTTTAAGATATATCAGAAAACTTCACATTAAACCGTGACTTATGTCTGACATCAGGCATTCAGAAAACCACACATCAAACCATGACTTATGTCTGACATCAGGCATTCAGAAAACCACACATCAAACCATGACTTATGTCTGACATCAGGCATTCAGAAAACCTCACATCAAACCAGGACTTATGTCTGAAATCAGGCATTCAGAAAACCTCACATTAAACCAGGACTTATGTCTGACATCAGGCATTCAGAAAACCTCACATTAAACCATGACTTATGTCTGAAATCACGCATTGAGAAAACCTCACATCAAACCAGGACTTATGTCTGAAATCAGGCATTCAGAAAACCTCACATTAAACCAGGACTTATGTCTGACATCAGGCATTGAGAAAACCTCACATTAAACCATGACTTATGTCTGAAATCAGGCATTCAGAAAACCTCACATTAAACCAGGACTTATGTCTGAAATCAGGTATTCAGAAAACTCACATGAAACCATGACTTATGTCTGACATCAGGCATTCAGAAACCACACATCAAACCATGACTTATGTCTGACATCAGGCATTCAGAAAACCACACATCAAACCATGACTTATGTCTGACATCAGGCATTGAGAAAACCTCACATCAAACCAGGACTTATGTCTGAAATCAGGCATTCAGAAAACCTCACATTAAACCAGGACTTATGTCTGACATCAGGCATTCAGAAAACCTCACATTAAACCATGACTTATGTCTGAAATCACGCATTGAGAAAAAACCTCACATCAAACCAGGACTTATGTCTGAAATCAGGCATTCAGAAAACCTCACATTAAACAAGGACTTATGTCTGACATCAGGCATTGAGAAAACCTCACATTAAACCAGGACTTATGTCTGAAATCAGGCATTCAGAAAACCTCACATTAAACCAGGACTTATGTCTGAAATCAGGCATTCAGAAAACCTCACATGAAACCATGACTTATGTCTGACATCAGGCATTCAGAAAACCTCACATCAAACCATGACTTATGTTTGAAATCAGGCATTCAGAAAACCTCACATTAAACCAGGACTAATGTCTGAAATCAGGCATTCAGAAAACCTCTCATGAAGTCTGACATCAGGCATTCAGAAAACCTCACATGAAACCATGACTTATGTCTGCCAACAGGCATTCAGCATTCAGAAAACCTCACATGAAAACATGACTTATGCCTGACATCAGGCATTCAGAAAACTTCACATTAAACCAGGACTTATGTCTGACATCAGGCATTCAGAAAACTTCACATCAAACCATGACTTATGTCTGAAATCAGGCATTCAGAAAACTTCACATTAAACCAGGACTTATGTCTGACATCAGGCATTCAGAAAACTTCACATCAAACCATGACTTATGTCTGACAACAGGCATTCAGAAAACCTCACATGAAACTATGACTTATGTCTGACAACAGACATTCAGAAAACTTCACATTAAACCAGGACTTACGTCTGACATCAGGCATTCAGAAAACTTCACATCAAACCATGACTTATGTCTGAAATCAGGCCATCAGAAAACCTCACATGAAACCATGACTTATGTCTGACATCAGGAAATCAGAAAACCTCATATCAACCAGTGACTTATGTCTGAAATCAGGCAATCAGAAAACCACACATCAAACCATGACTTATGTCTGAAATCAGGAAATCAGAAAACCTCATATCAAACAGTGACTTATGTCTGACGTCAGGCAATCAGAAAACCACACATCAAACCATGACTTATGTCTGACATCAGGCAATCAGAAAACCTCATATCAAACCATGACTTATGTCTGACGTCAGGCAATCAGAAAACCACACATCAAACCATGACTTATGTCTGACATCAGGCATTCAGAAAACTTCACATCAAAGCACTTCATTTTCTGAGAAACTATACAGGTAGTTAAAGTATGCGCATAATAATTTTTAAAGTATTTAATTTTATTTTAAGTAATTAAAGCTGTTTAACCTATAACATTACATTTCATCATATGTTGATCTTACCTGCCTGACCTTTAGTTTTCTTTTTAACCTGTTGAGATGTGGAGGTAATTTACAGGTATCAGATACTGATTCTAGTTTCTTCAAAAGTAATCTCTCATCGTATGTGCTCATCAACTGGTATCTAATACATAAGGTTAAATTGATCAAGTATTGTTGTATGAATTATTGTGCTAGCCAGGCTACTCACTTAAAGAATGAGCCTGTAATTACTGCCATCTATTTTCAAAACGTAAGAATTACATGTATTAAAATTTTTTTATCAAATTTAGTTCATAAATAAGTTTTTTACTTTGTATTTTTTGAAAAATATAGTATCCAAAACCCCTTATTTAGATATGAACAGACCAGTGCCACTTTTACACATTACTTATCAATATAAAAGGGAACAAATATGTTTGTCTGGTATTTATGCTGATTTCAACACATTTTTTTTGTATAATCTAAGTGGTTGGTCCACTGGTTAACTAACCAGTCATTACTATTTTCTCTGCAATATGATCAAGTTCCAAACCCACTTGTTTTTTGAATTAGCATTGCGAGACAAATGAACGTTAGACTCAATGTCAGAGTTCACTTGTCACAGAGGAATTTCCCCTTTACCTTATGACTGAATTGTTCAGTATGTATAACTATATCTCTACTGCTTTACTAGTGCAGTAAGGGCTATTTTTGCATATTTTGACCTCTTTATAGTAATTACATAGGTTGTAAGAGTGCCACTGATAATGTGCAAATTGCATTCTTAACTTCACAATATTATACTGTTAAACACATTTTCAAATTTTTATGAAAATCAGCATGAATCTGGAGATGTGCTGCTTTAAGGAACAGACTAAAAGGAAAATAATATATACAAGAGTACACCTTAATGCACTGTTTAACATCTGTTGGGGAAGTAGGATGCAGTATATATAAAACAAAGCAACCTTTATGTACTTGTCAGCTATTCTAGTATACTATGAAACAGTACAGTATATTCTGACTTACTGATATTTTGGGACTACAACTGCTGTTGACTGTTCCTCCGTTTGCAATTTTCTTTTCTTCCTACTTTCTTCTTTCTCTCCACTTTCTCCATCCATCTGTCCATCTTCACCCTAAATATAATATCAAACTTTTATACATAAATTCATTTCAAGTCACTCAAGGCCCTTATTACATGTACCTAATAAGGACTGGAAAAGGGGCCCTCTGGCAGGAGAATCTGGCACTGTTTTAAAGAAGAATGGGAATTTTGTCAACAGAAGTACTCATAAATTTATACATTACATCTTCTGTTTGATAAAAAACAAATACCAATATGATACTGATAATGGTCTCCTGCTTTTGGCAGGTAAAATTTTAATTTTTTTTTCTTGAGGGGAATTTTTGTAGAAATAATGGTAAATCATATATTAATTGGGGAGGGAAATAGGGCCAAAAATTCATGAAATGAGGACCCTTTCACTGTAGCCCATGTGACCTTATATTAGGTAAGTCAAATATCAATTAATCATGTGTTATTACTTGTTTTCTATGTTATACAAGCTTTACATATTTTTCTACCTTATACAATGTGTACAATAGCATTCATATAATGTTTGCTGTTTATTTCGATGCAATTCAAACAATTAGATATGAATGTTCTCCAGAAAAAATTTAAGTAATATCTTTTGAAGCTATCATTTAATAAATTACATCATAACATAACAAGTGCTATATTAAATTAAATGCCATGTTTCTGAGGACCTTGATCTGAGTGATCTTGACTTTTGACCAATAAGTGGGTCTGATGTACAGTTCATTAAGGTACATGCACCTGTGAAGTTTGGTCATGGTAAAACTTTTTTTGACAAACAGACAATAAATAAACAGACTGAAAACAATATGCCAACCTGATTAATGGGTTGGTTAAAATCAATCTTTAATTCTTAGGTGAGTTTTCAATTAGTTTTTATAAGACTTTATTTTCAAACTGTACAATGATTTTTTGAAAATATAAAAATATACTGACATCTGAAGACAAGGATGATGCACTGTCACTTTCTGAATCTACAACAGATTTAACTGTCTCCATCTCACCTGTAATATATCAATATATCAACGTTATACTCATCTATATACATGTATAATGTACACACAAACATTGACAAATTAAGCCTCACTTGATTATACATCTGTTGAGAAAAATCACTTGATTTTATTTTAAAATGTCTTTTCAAGCTTAACAAGTAGTGGACTGCACACCTATCGGAAGCGTGGCTGAGTGGTTAACGCGTCAGACTAGTAATTTAAGGCTTGCTGACTGCGTTGGTTCAAACCGTGTCAGGGGAAAGCCGTTGTTTCCTTGTACAAGAAACTTTACATTCAATGCTTTGTACTGGTTAATTCCAGGAACGGATTTGAGTGTTTCAATAAGCTTATAGCTTCCAACACAATTGATCTAAATTTGTATAATAATACTATAAGTGTAACCTCTGATGCCTCATTGGTCTATCATTTCTTTGGCTCAGTGGTCTAGAGCATGTGGTTGCCAGTTTGAATCCCAGCCAATGCAGGCTTTTTTCATAAGCATTTGAATCTTTCTGTTATGAACTAAAAGTGTACTAAAGAATACAAAAAAAAAGAACAATTTATTTCTTCTCAAACTTTGCAGAAAACTGAGCAAGAATAACAACCTTACAAGAACCACTCATTGTTACAGAATAATATATCAACTTATACCAACAAAATCCCACCATCAAATCAGGGACGATTTGTTTGTCAAGTTATAATATCTCGATTAAATATATCATTCAAAATCTGATCAAAAACAAAAGTTTTACTTTGCAATCTATTTTATACTTTAATGCCAGATTTTACAAAATTAAAATGTCTTAGCTACACTTTACCTTGGCTGGTGTTGTTATCTATATTTCTGAAGAATGAAAAATTGGCCTGGTTATTGCTACTGTACAAACTGTCAGGTTTACTGGTATCCATGGAAGTACTTCCTTGACAACTGTTGTCAAGGTTACTGTTGTCTAGGTAACTACTCTCATCTGTTATCGAAAGTTAGAACAAAGTATAACAAAGTATTTCAAGATTGAAAATTTATAAAAAGTAGTTTTTTATCCTAAAACTGTTAATTATCTATCAAATTTAAGTTATCTATCAAACTTGAGAGACAGCATTATTGATTTACATAATAAAGCCTTCTAGTCTTAGTCCTACTATTTCATAACAACGCCTTAATTAAAAAATTTCTGACTCTTTTCCATAAACTGTCTTCAGCAGCATTTGTTTAAAGTGTGCACCTAAGAAAAGTAGGTCAGCAATTAAGCTTTGCCTTCCTTTTTTTACCTGTTTAAATTGCTTTTTTTTTCTAAAGCATCTAACTACAGTATTACTTAATTCATGATATAGTAGTTGTAATTGTCACTGAAAAATGGAAGCTTTTAATAGGTAAACAAAATTAATATATATTCTCTTTTACAAGTTTTATACTTTTATATCTCATCTTTATTCCACAAAGCAACCTTCATAAACATCCCAGCTCCTGTAAAGTTTATATTTAGATCTGATTACCTATTGCAGATAGCATTTCCTGTACTGTTGGAGATTCTTGCATTCTGATAGGGGAACCAGGAGGAGTAATGGTTCCCGGGTCAATCTCAAGGTCACTTTCATCTGCATCATGACCCCCTGTGCCATCATCTGATAATAATAGGTTGGGGACAGTTGCTGAAAGAAAATAGTACCAATATTCATTTAAACTAGGTAGAAGATTTATGTAATCAGTTGGCTTTTAAAATATTACATATAGAAATTTTTCATTTATAATTCTTATATCCTAGAACACTTGTAAAATTATAAAATATGTAACTAACACTGAATCGTACTTTTCTTCATAATTTATATAAATCAAACTTATCCTAATATGTAAAGAACAATTTCTTGAAACCTTGTAATTAAAAAAAAAGTGGCATAATAAATTCAAAATGTATGACAAGGCTATGTGCTGTTCTATTTACCAGAAATATTAAGCAATCTTGTGAATTACCTTGAAACTGTAGGTCTTTCTCTGTAAGATAACTGCTCTGTGAGATATTACTACTGCTCTCATCACTGTAATCAGCCATTGACCCTGACCTTGATGACACCATTGACCAGCTCGATGTAACCGCTCCACTTCCATCAGTAAATAATGTAGCTGAATCACCTGATCAATAACAAAAAAAAAACACTTTAATACCAGCTACAAGTTTTTTTTTTCCTACAAGACTTGAGATTATAAAGCTGGTGTTGAATAAGAAATTATATTAGTCTGAGCGGTGTTTATTCGCTATTAAACACTGCTTTGGTAATTTTTTATTTCTTAGAAACTGACCATGATGGTTGTAGGCCTGCGTGATTAATTTTTAGGCATCAAAAAATAAATAGGTGTTAAATAGATTATGAGCTGGCTCAGACTGATACCACTTCTATTTAATTCTAACATGATCATGAAGAGAAAACAAACTAGAAATGTGTCCATAGGACACGGATACCCCCACACGTCACTGTTCTGTCAATCTTATGACCCTAGGTCAAATATTTTTTGGACTACATGTGCCACAAGTTGAAAACTAAAAATCAACAAAGGGCCATAATTCTGTTAAATTTGGTCGCAGCAAAAATTCCTTCCTTTACTACCATCTACACATTAAGGTTGTTAATCCCTGGAAGTTTAAGCAAAATCTGCCATCCGGTTTAAGAGGAGTTGTGTTCACAAAATTTCTACATAGTATATAATGAAAAAATCAACAAAGGGCCATAATTCTGTTAAATTTGGTTGCAGTTCATCCCTGTAAGTTTAAGCAAAATCTGCCATCCGGTTTAAAAGGAGTTGCGTTCACAAAATTTCTACATAGTATCTAGTGAAAAAATCAACAAAGGGCCATAATTCTGTTAACCCATTACTTCATATACACGCCTTTTAACGCCTTTTTCACCCCCCCCCTTTTTGTTGTCTCAAATGATGAAAAAATGCCTTATTTAGGCCCCAAACACTTGTTTTTGTTTGAGAATTGTTGTTAAAAAAAGTGACCCTTTTTTCGGCGCGGCCCCCCCAACCAAAAGATACATCAGGGGATTGCCAGAAGGGGGATGTGCCCCCTTCTGTTTGGGGGGGTTTGAAGGGGGGCGGAGTCCCCCTCATCGCCAAGAAAATTTTGGACTTGTGAGAGGCTGTAAATGACCCCAGATTGATCATAAGGTAACGTGTAACCAACGCTGAAAAGCATTTGACTCTATCTCAATCCATTGAGAAGTTGCAGCACTTTGAAATCAATTTTGATGGAAAAAATCAACGCAAAATAGTGATTTTTGGCAATTTTGAGATGTCCCCTCGTTGCCATGGTAACAGAAAATTTAAGCCTGAGCATGTTGTTGCAAGGACAATGGTCCAGTCAACATTTGTGCCAAGTTTGATTAGTGTTGAAGCAGTATTTATAGTATTATAGCAATTTGAACTTGTAACGGGAGACTTTTCAATGAAAACAGCCATTTTTCACAAAATGCTCATGAAGCAATGGGTTAATGAAAAAAATAAAAAAATCTACAAAACAACAATTTTTCTTCAAATTTATATGACAGGCCATGTTTAAACATGAAAAAACGCGATTTAGGGTAATTTCAAGTATTTTCATCATTTTCTGTTAACCCATTACTTCATATACACGCCTTTTAACGCCTTTTTCACCCCCCCCCCCCTTTTTGTTGTCTCAAATGATGAAAAAATGCCTTATTTAGGCCCCAAACACTTGTTTTTGTTTGAGAATTGTTGTTAAAAAAAGTGACCCTTTTTTCGGCGCGGCCCCCCAACCAAAAGATACATCAGGGGATTGCCAGAAGGGGGATGTGCCCCCTTCTGTTTGGGGGGTTTGAAGGGGGGCGGAGTCCCCCTCATCGCCAAGAAAATTTTGGACTTGTGAGAGGCTGTAAATGACCCCAGATTGATCATAAGGTAACGTGTAACCAACGCTGAAAAGCATTTGACTCTATCTCAATCCATTGAGAAGTTGCAGCACTTTGAAATCAATTTTGATGGAAAAAATCAACGCAAAATAGTGATTTTTGGCAATTTTGAGATGTCCCCTCGTTGCCATGGTAACAGAAAATTTAAGCCTGAGCATGTTGTTGCAAGGACAATGGTCCAGTCAACATTTGTGCCAAGTTTGATTAGTGTTGAAGCAGTTTTTATAGTATTATAGCAATTTGAACTTGTAACGGGAGACTTTTCAATGAAAACAGCCATTTTTCACAAAATGCTCATGAAGCAATGGGTTAATGAAAAAAATAAAAAAATCTACAAAACAACAATTTTTCTTCAAATTTATATGACAGGCCATGTTTAAACATGAAAAAACGCGATTTAGGGTAATTTCAAGTATTTTCATCATTTTCTGTTAACCCATTACTTCATATACACGCCTTTTAACGCCTTTTTCACCCCCCCCCCCCTTTTTGTTGTCTCAAATGATGAAAAAATGCCTTATTTAGGCCCCAAACACTTGTTTTTGTTTGAGAATTGTTGTTAAAAAAAGTGACCCTTTTTTCGGCGCGGCCCCCCAACCAAAAGATACATCAGGGGATTGCCAGAAGGGGGATGTGCCCCCTTCTGTTTGGGGGGTTTGAAGGGGGGCGGAGTCCCCCTCATCGCCAAGAAAATTTTGGACTTGTGAGAGGCTGTAAATGACCCCAGATTGATCATAAGGTAACGTGTAACCAACGCTGAAAAGCATTTGACTCTATCTCAATCCATTGAGAAGTTGCAGCACTTTGAAATCAATTTTGATGGAAAAAATCAACGCAAAATAGTGATTTTTGGCAATTTTGAGATGTCCCCTCGTTGCCATGGTAACAGAAAATTTAAGCCTGAGCATGTTGTTGCAAGGACAATGGTCCAGTCAACATTTGTGCCAAGTTTGATTAGTGTTGAAGCAGTATTTATAGTATTATAGCAATTTGAACTTGTAACGGGAGACTTTTCAATGAAAACAGCCATTTTTCACAAAATGCTCATGAAGCAATGGGTTAAATTTGGTTGCAGCGAAAATTCCTTCCTTTACTACCATCTACACATTAAGGTTGTTCATCGCTGTAAGTTTAAGCAAAATCTGCCATCCGGTTTAAGAGGAGTTGCGTTGTGGGGGCATAAAAAGATATCACTAAAACTACTTTTCAAAGTAGAGGTTGACAATTTAACATTATACTGTTTTATTTCATATCCTCCTTTTGCTGTGTTAAAACACAAAAGAAATAATAAGAAAATAGCTGTTTTATTATACGTAATTCCTATCAAACTAGCTTTCATAGTATTTACACTGATTCTAGATAAATCAATCATTAACCCACCCACTCCCATATAAATAGAGTAACAATCTTTAAAATGATGTATTTGCAGTATTCCCGTTATGAAATGGATGTGTCAGTGTGTTTAGCATGAAGTCATTATGAAAAGTTCAAATTCTTATTGTGATAAAAAATCATTTAAATTAATTCAGCTTTAATTAATTCAGTTCTTTAATTAATTCAGTTTCAGAGATTTAATTATAAAGGTAATGTTTAAATGAACAAATGACAGAGATTGGGAGTTCATTGTATCCAAAATGACAGCAAATATTTCTCCTGACAAGATTTTTAACAATGTATTAAAAGTCACGCATTTCATACTCTTAGAGAACAATCCTGTGAAAGCTAGAAGTTTTTCCTGGCGACCAGTTGTCATCTCTCTAGAATTTAGCGGTGTACTGCCTTCTTGGTAAGTCACATGATGTACTTGTTCTGATGTGTTTGATGAAGACTGGGTATTATCTGTATATTGCACACAGTCTATTGACTGGTTCAGTTGTGATTCGGGTTTAGGCTGTAGATTTTCGGCAGACTGGTTGAATAAATTTGATTCATCAGCCTGACTTTTAGCTAACTTGGTTTTTCTTATCTCTTTAGCTTCCTGCAACAACAAAAAAAAAACTTTTTTTTTTACATCATAATCATTACATTAAAATCCAACTTTCAGAATGTGCTTAAAAATCTATTACAGCAATGAGGGTATAAAAAAGTCAAACACTCTATAAAATATATTGTTTAAGGTACATGTACCAAACATTAACAGGATTCCTTAAAACCACTATATCACTGTTATAATATTAACTTTCTACACATTTAAGGGTAAGATAAGCTTTACCATTTTTATGTCTATAAACATTCAAAATACTTTAAAACGTTAAACAGTATTTTAGCCATGTTTTATGCATATACTACATTGAATTCTGTTGTAACTTTAACTTACTGTCAACGTTGATCTTTTAGCTTTAAGTTCCATAGCTGCCTCTATAGAGGTCTTGCCCCTCCTACTTCTCAAACCTTCTTTAGGGGCATCTTTAAATGTAGGGGAAATTTCCTTCTTCTTAACAGCTGGCTTTGTGCTAGGTGTACCTGTTTTATATAACATGATTACAATGGTAGTTTTAAAGGAACTCCACTGACGTATAAAAGCATTTACACATTGAATTTGAATTTCCTACATAGATCAACTGGGACATTTGAAACAGAAAGATATGCAAAAGATAAGTAAGAAGTATACTCGAAAATAAACTGAAAATCATATTTTTGTGTTATTCTTAGCCCATTTGAGTGAAAAATGGTGCAATATTTTTCAGTTTTGGGTCATTTTTCACAATTATATTATACATTCTGAAAAATGGAAGTGAGCGAAAGATCTGAAATTTTGCACACAAGTTACTGGTTTAGACATCCACAGCAAATGAAACATTAATCTCTAAAAATTATTTCCATTCCTGTCAAGTGGAGTCTCTTTAATGTCTATTTAGCACATGAAAACATACATAAATTGTGAAAGCAGAGATCTGCCAAGAATTTGAAAGTACTGGGCCCTGGGCCCACTTGGTCTGAAAATGATGGGCCATTTTTACCAAAGTATGGGCCTTGGGAAACTAAGTAAACATTGACTAAAATTAGTTTGTAGATAACTGAATTTCCCTGGTAATTAAACTTAAATCATATTGTATGACAAGTGGTTCACTTATGATACAGTAAAATTAAAATGCCTACATCATGTAACTTTCTAACTAATATTATTTGCATGCAAAATATTTTTTCAAATGGCTGCTCAAAAATTTGGTATGCAAATTTATACATAATTGCTGGCTCTTACTTCTGATGTCTAATACTGTGCATTATCCATTTAATTGTTCCTACTTTGCACCAAATGTCCCTTACCACTGTATATTGACGAATTTTATTGCCCCTTGTATGCCTCTGTGTAGACAGCATACATTAAAGACACTTGCCTACAGACCTTTTGATCATGAAAAAAGTCATGCACAATGTTTCCCTGATTGCTTAATCACCCTGTTAAATATTCTGATGACGAAATAGACATCTTTTTTTTATACTTCATCAGCCAAAGCTTGCATGAATTTGAGTGACCTTTGGGGTGATCAAGTTGTACACCTGTCAGCTTAAAATAGCAACACTTTTTTTTTCAGTTACCAATAATCATTTTAAATATTGAAGTAGTTGTATAATTTTTGTTTGTTTGTTTTATTTGATTTCAATTTACGATAGTAGAAATAAGTATCTGTGTGGGAAAGGGATTATGAGAAGAAATGTTGTAAGTAGATAAAGTGAACAAAAGCTATAGGGGAATGGATAAACTCAAGAATATGCGTAATTACAGGGGAATGGGTAACATGTTGCTGTTGGTAACAGTTTTGATTGGATGACTAAATAACCCAGCAGACAGTTTTGTTTTCTTATAAGTCTGGCACAAATTTTAGATGCGCCCATGGCCCTTTGCTGCCGATTTTCCCGTGCCATTCTCATTATTTTAGCGCCAATGGCGCAAAATTGCGTCCTCAGCAGATCTCTGTGAAAGTATATATTTTAAAAATTGAAACATTCCTTTTTCACAATATAAATATATTAGAGACACTATTATTATGAAGGTACCACGGTACATTACCATTTTAAATATATGCTATACGGTGATAGTAAAAGTTAAAAAAAAAAAAAATTACAAGATTTTTCTGCAATCATAATTTTATTTATAACAAGAAGAAAACAAGAGGGCCATGATGGCCCTGAGTCGCTCACCAGAAACAACTTCAGTGTTGGAATGTCAATATTTCCTAATATTAAATTTAACCATAGAATATGTTTAAACAATAATTTGAAGAAATGCCATGACCTGGGGCATTTAAGCTTTAGCTTAAATGGGGCTAATCAAATTAATATGAGCAAACTTGATAAAAAAAACTACCTAAGAATGCTACAAAGTTTGGTGATCATCTATCAATTATTTCAGTAGGAAATGATGTTTGAAGATTTTTTCTATTTTTAGCTTTAGTGGCCCCTTTCAGACAAAGTTTGGTGATCATCCATCAGTTAGTTCTGTAGAAGAAGATGTTTAAAGGTTTTTCTATTTTTAGCTCTGCTGACCCCTAAAAGGGGCCAATTGGAATGACATGAGCAAATTTTTTTTTCTATTTTTAGCTATAGAGGCCCCTAAAAGGGGTCAATCAAATTAATATGAGCAAACTTGATAAAAGACTACCCAACAATGCTACAGACAAAGTTTGGTAATCATCCATCAATTAGTTCTGTAGAAATAGACATTTAAAGGTATTTATATTTTTAGCTTTTGCAGCCCCTAAAAGGGGCCAATCAAAATAATATTAGCAAACTTGATAAAAGACTACCACAGCATGCTACAGACAAAGTTTGGTGATCATCCATCTATTAGTTATGTAGAAATAGACATTTAACTGTATTTCTATTTTAAGCTTAAGCGGCTCCTAAAAGGGGCCAATCAAATTAATATGAGCAAACTTGATAAAAGACTACCCAAGAATGCTACAGACAAAGTTTGGTGATCATCCATCAATTAGTTCTGTAGAAAAAGACATTTTAAAGTTTTTCTTTTTTTAGCTTATGGGGCTCCTAAAAGGGGCCAATCAAATAAACATGAGCAAACTTGATAAAAGACTACCCAAGAATGCTACAGACAAAGTTTGGTGATCATCCATCAATTAGTTCTGTAGAAAAAGACATTTAAAGGTATTTCTATTTTTAGCATTTGCGGTCCCTAAAAGGGGCCAATCAAATAAACATGAGTAAACTTGATAAAACACGACCTGAGAATGCTACAGACAAAGTTTGGTGATCATCCATCAATTAGTTCTGTAGAAAAAGACATTTAAAGGTATTTCTATTTTTAGCTTTTGCGGCCCCTAAAAGGGGCCAATCAAAATAATATTAGCAAACTTGATAAAAGACTACCCAAGCATGCTACAGACAAACTTTGGTGATCATCTATCAATTAGTTCTCTAGAAATAGACATTTAACGGTATTTCTATTTTTAGCATTAGCGGCCCCTAAAAGGGGCCAATCAAATAAACATGAGTAAACTTGATAAAACACTACCTGAGAATGCTACAGACAAAGTTTGGTGATCATCCATCAATTAGTTCTGTAGAAATAGACATTTAAAGGTATTTCTATTTTTAGCTTAAGCGGCCCCTAAAAGGGGCCAATCAAATTAATATGAGCAAACTTGATAAAAGACTACCCAAGAATGCTACAGACAAAGTTTGGTGATCATCCATCCATTAGTTCTGTAGAAGAAGATGTTTAAAGGTTTTTCTATTTTTAGCCCTAGTGACCCCTAAAAGGGGCCAATCAAAATAATATGAGCAAACTTGATAAAAGACTACCCAAGAATGCTACAGACAAAGTTTGGTGATCATCCATAAATTAGTTCTGTAGGAGAAGATGTTTAAAGGTTTTTCTATTTTTAGCCCTAGTGACCCCTAAAAGGGGCCAATCAAAATAATATGAGCAAACTTGATAAAAGACTACCCAGGAATGCTACAGACAAAGTTTGGTGATCATCCATCCATTAGTTCTGTAGAAGAAGATGTTTAAAGGTTTTTCTATTTTTAGCTCTGCTGACCCCTAAAAGGGGCCAATTGGAATGACATGAGCAAATTCAAGTGTGACTGTCACAAGGATGCTACAGACCAAATTTGAAGTAAATCTGCCCAGTAGTTTCAGAGAAGAAGACGATTGTTGACCCATGACGACGGACGACGGATGCCGGAGCATCCCCCTTTGATACTTATAGCTCACCCTGAGCCTTCGGCTCTGGTGAGCTAACTAGTTATTTGATCAACTTGTATCAATCAATCACCGAGGGAAAACATTCTGACTGTGGAAACAAGTAAGTTTTAGTTCTTCCAAAGAAATATGAACAAGGTTTGACTAATGCACAAAAAATATATTGTCTGCTGTGGAGAGTACCTCTCTGATGCAACACTATTTGCTGGAAATAAAGTAAGCAATTTGCTAAAAAATTTACATTAAAGTTTATCGGGAAAGAATCAGAATTGGTGTGGTGGGAATTAAACGCATACCTGTCTGAGGTCACTCTTATAAGTTTTGAAATGTTACAGTAACAGACTACACATGGTGGGGAAAACATAGAAATCAGTTATCATTTAGAATGTTTTATATGCAACTTTTAACAAATATGAAGATTTAAGAATTATTATTTTTTAAATATATCACTGGTGTTTAACACTATAGACTGGTACCACAGTAACCAGTATACAGTGCACCTATAGTTATAATAATACTGTATCCTTCTTTGTTTTCTTGTCAGCAACATTGTCTTTCTTCTCACCATCTGTACTATAGAGACTAGAAACAACTTTGATTACATGATAAGAGGGCTAACAGACAGACTTCAAACTTTGTTTAAACTTTGTAAGGATGCAGTAAAAATTAGCTTTATTGTAACATCATAGTCAACATACTTTGTCTATGAGGATTTGGAGGCTGTAACTCTTTCAGTTTCCACCAACCACTCTCCTTCAACTCATTAGCACCTGACTCAAAGATGGTAGGACAACCCTGTGATAACACACCAGCCACTGTACCATGCCATAGTGATGTCTTCTTTCTATAAAATATCAATGAGATCTTTTTCTTCTTTTTTTTTTTCAAAAAATTTCCAGCCAATCAAATTATTTTACTCTTTTGTTGTTGTTTTTTATTTCAAAATTCTTATCTTACTGTACATTTAGCTCATCTATATCATTGCTGTATGGTTATTGTCATAGAAATACATGCATGTTCTACAAGATTAATACAAAATGTACTTATTACATTCCTATCTACTACATAATTATCTCATACCAAGGCATGACAACAATCTTTTATGAATAGGTATTTAAATATTTCTTTCAAACATACATTGTACATGTATGTTGCAATATAATAATATGCATGGTTTATGATATAATATATGTTATTTTGGTTTTGGAGTGATATATGTGGATATATTACCTGTCAAGATTTTATATCACCCGAGCCGTTAGGCGAGGGTGATATTTTATCTTGGCAGGTAATATATCCACATATATCACTCCAAAACCAAAATAATAATTTTATTACCCTTCCCCTGCCGAGTTAAGACGATTTTAAAATAAATCATTGCTACTTCAAATGAAACGTCGAAATAAGATTCCCTTTAGGGTACCCCTTCATCACTACATGACGTCACATAAATACATGACGTATTTTCTTTCGAACCTAACGAATGTAAACAAAAGAAAAGGAGTAGTCTGTTGAACGCACTTTTTTGGAATTAATATCAAGCTTTCACAAGGTCATATTTGTTTTCAATACTGATGAGAATATGTATGATTACTCTATTTTGGTAAATATTTATGATTTGACAGTTAAAAAGTGCTTGTAAATCGGAATTTACATCGCGTAAAATCAAACCGTACGCGCATCGCCACAGTGCATGTTGTTAAGAACGTGGGGTACCCAACGGGGAAATTGAGTGTGTATATTACCCGTCTGGCTCGGTAATATCAATTTCTTTCGGGTGATCAATATCCAATCAAAAAGGCGGAAAAAATCTGGAAGGGTAATAAAATATTATATGATTAATGATATAGGAATTGATATACAATTTCTGATATGATATCAAAGAGGGTATGATGTACGATTTGAAGTGATATACGATATTATGAGGTTATTATACATTGTTGAGTATAACACAGAATTTTATTGAACGAGTACAGAGCCCTCAAACCAATATTGGATGAAGCGCAAGCTGATAGAATCAGTATATTGTTCTCAACCATGTTTAATGACCTTTTAATTTCACACCACCATTTTTGACATCTTGACAGAATTTGTTACATCAATTACAATAAGGATTTGATGTGGATTTTGAACTCTCAAAAATAATGAAACAAGGCTAGATGGGGTGTGATATGGATTTGACATTAAACGTTTTGGACTCTGGACATGAAAATGAGGCTATATGGGGTGTGATATGGATTTGGTATTGACCTTTTTGGACTCTGGAAATGAAAATGAGGCTTTATGGGGTGTGATATGGATTTGTTTGGACTCTGAAAATGAAAACAAGGCTTAATTAATGACTGGATCAGAGCATCATGTGGTGCAAATGCTGAAAGTGCATTTCTTATATTTTATAAGGTGTGAAATAAGGTATAATACATGATATGATTAAAATATATGATGTATCATATAATATATAATAAAAAATGGTATAATAAACAATATTTTATATGATATGATGAATGATTTATTATCACATAAACCGCAGCGCAGGAGTGTAATAAAGCCATATAATAAAAACGATATTACACTAGTGCAGTAACACTTTGACGTGACGTCATTTGCGCTATATAGAAACATGGCGTTAAAGCGCGCTAATGTTAGCGTTACACTATAGACGCGTCATTGAAAAATTACTCGTTTTAACAGTTTACTGTTCTTATTTTATATATGTGATAAATAGAATGTTATATTTGTGTAGATTCAATACTAAATTTATTGAACTCGTTGAATAAAACAATATTATGCTCGCCATAGGCTCGCATAATATGATTTTATTCAACTCGTTCAATAAATTTAGTATTAAACTTCACTCATTTAATATCCTCTATTTATTTGATATCTGTATGATATGATAAATGATAAGTTATATATATATATATATATCATATAATATACAATAAAAGATATGACGGGTTATGATGAGATGTTTATTACCTGTCATGTAATTATAACTTACCTTTGTGATCCGAAGAATGTTGTCCAATGACTGTCAATAAATGAACAAATATGTTCCTTCCACCTAAAATAGCCACACATTCCAGCTCCTGCTAGTTGTAGATTATACAGTGTCAAGTGAACCACCTGTACCCTGTTCATAATATATCATCATCTTTAATATTGTCTAAAGTTATCAATATTCCTCAGTGAATTATAGTAAATAAGCAATAACATAATAATTAAAATTATTCAAAATTTAAAAGGTAATTCAATATGTTAAATTGGTTTTTTTTTATGGAAAACAACTTTAAGAAAGCCAATCACCGAGATATTTACATTAATAGAGCAAGTAAAATTCTTATCAATACACTGTACATGAACTAACAAACATTTAACCAATTACAGACAACCCAGTTAAAATAGGTATTATAATATTAGATTAATGCAAATAAATTTCTTGAATTTTGACTGGCTTTAATACCTACAATGCTGTTATACTATGAAAAACTGAAATGCGCGCAAATAACAATGTACATGTATTGCTACATCGTTGACAGTTACCTACATGTATGGAATATTTCTTGATTCAAATATCATTACTTCTAATAAAAAAAGTTAAAAGTTACATTGCTTTGACAACTTTATATTTGAATTACTTTTTATGGCACAGCCTTTGCATAGCAGTTGAAGGTCTGATATCAACATTTTTACATGTACCTTTTTTTCCCATGCCCTTCTTAAAGAACAGTCTAAAGTTACTAGGCTTTCTAAGAAAATTGTTGTCAATAACATTTTGCGTTATTATAATTTTTATAAAAGTTGCTGACTGGATATATGGGAGAATATAGGCTTGCTGACAAAAATTAATAAAACGGTTTGCTAGCACCTTGGGTCAATCATTTCATTCAGGGTAGTCCTCCTACATATCCTGTCAGTAACTGATGTATAACTAATAATAAATTTGAGCCGCGCCATGACAAAATCAACATAATGGGTTTGCGAGCAGCATGGATCCAGACCAGCCTGCGCATCTGCACAGTCTGATCAGGATCCATGCTGTTCGCTATCAGTTTCTCTACTTATAATAGGGTTTGTAAGCGAACAGCATGGATCCTGATCAGACTGCGTGGAAGCGCAGGCTGGTCTGGATCCATGCTGGTCGCAAACACATAATGTTGGTTTTGTCATGGCGCGGCTCATATAAATTACCATTGTAGCCTCATACGTGTCAGCTCCTCTCCTTCTTCACTATCGCATACAGCGCATTTAAATTTATACAGATAGTCTCCCTTTAATACAGAGGGTGCACCACTTCTCAAACATTCTGAAAGTAACCCCCACCCCACTTTGTTAAACTACATGTATTTACATTAACAATTGGATTATCTCCCTTATACTGCAATAAAATACATCACATGCAGAACTCAACTGTGTCACATGACCTTGTATTTAAAAATATATTAAAGCACTGAAATTGTACGAGATCTAAAGTAAGCAAGAAAATGCACGAACAATTATACATTTAAAACGTATTACATTAAAAATTAACTGTAACAATGCAGACATATTGTAATAAACTATGATCAATAAGTTTTAAAAAATACCATTCCTGTACATGTCTGTCATCAATTTTCAAAACTTAGGAAGCAATCTTTGATATAAAACCAAAAACAAGATTGCATCTGTGAAAAAATGCAATGCCATCAAATTAATATAACTGAAGTAGATTTTTACCAGAGGCATAATTTAATAACATCACAAATTCAAAACAAACTACCTCCATGACAGCACCTTTAATAGAGCCATGGCTTAAATTGTGATTCAGCTTTTTTTATAGATTATTTGAAGCCAATAATCACATCTAGCTACTTGATTCCACTTGTATCTTTTAAAATCAATATATCAAAAAGGTATTCAAAGACATAAACTACCTTCATGAAACTTTTTCTTGCATTTTTCACATGAAAAGTAGTATGAACTTGTTATGTCTGGCGTTCCACAGTAACACTGACCTCCAGTCTCTGTAGCCATCTAAAATATTGTTATAATAAATGAGCTGTGTCACGACAAAACCTACATAATGGGTTTGCGACCAGCATGGATCCAGATCAGCCTGCGCATCCGTGCAGTCTGATCAGGATCCATGCTGTTCGCTTACCAACCCTATTACAAGTAGAGAAACTGATAGCCAACAGCATGGATCCTGATCAGACTACATGGATGCGCAGGCTGGTCTGGATCCATGCTGGTCGCAAACGCACTATGTTGGTTTTGTCATGATGCTGCTTAAATGTAAAATCATATCACATGGTTCTTATTTTGGTGATAATGTTAAGTTTACATAAGACTGTTTGAAAGGGTCTTCTCCTCCACATTTCTATTGCCAATTTTAAACCTTATTCTGTTAAGAAAATTTCATTATTTGTTAAGATTTAAAAAACTTTAAAAATGTAAAGATAACAATAGTGTGATAACTTAAATAAATTTGGCACAAACAATTTTTAGAGTATAAGTTTTATCTTGCATTGTTAAATTTATATCCATTTTTCAAATAAGCAATTTCAGACAGTATTTAGCCCAAAGTCCCCATCATTACATCCATCCCTCTGTAAAATTAACCTTAATCAAAACGGTCAATCCATCCCAACTATGGCAGATACATGTACCCAGATAGGTTCAAAATCGATTACAAAACCTTTCAATAACACTCAAAAACCCTGTGGTCCTAATAAAATAAAGCTAATCATTCTCAACATACTCCCAAAAAGCATTTCCTAATTTGAGCATTTCCACCCCCCATAATATACATTGATGTTATGCTAACTGTCATCCCAATTGAAAAATTGAGACTACTTAGAATCTAGCTTTGGCACATCAATATATTTTGACTAAACACTTCAACAACCAGCTGGTTCCTCTGATATGATTTCAGTTGGTATACTGGTTGGGGAGATAACTTCGGCTGGTTGATAAACTCGGCTTTTTATTATTAAATCGAGTTATCGAAATTTTTAATCTAATCAAGTTCATCATCTCTTACTATCGCTGGAATTCGACAATATCTGGAAATTTTGTCAAGTTTGGTAAGATATTTAAAAAATAACACAGACTTTTACCTGTTTGATTACAAAACATGCCTATAAAAAGTACGGGAATCCCATTGTTGTGCGCATGTGCAGCAGATGCTCATTTTGTGGCCCGCACATGGGTACTTTTATATTTTGACCGACTACCGGTAAAGCAGACGATGTTTACGTACACATTTTGTACATGAAATTCGTACACATTTTGTACATGAAATTCAGACTCTTTTTTTGTCTTGCTAACTCAGGAAAAAAAGGCTGATTACACAATTGTAATCTTTAAGTGGAATGGATTGAAAGACTGCTGTAAAATGCTCCTTTTAAATGTTAATGTGTAGGTTGAATACCACTAAATTAATTTCTTCTTCACTCTGTTAAGCTAAGCAAAAATAAATTTGAATCACTAATTCTTTTACTACATGTACATATTTCGTTATACGTTAATAAATGATAATGCATTTGTTTTTACGTAAAAATGATTTATATGCTACATAGTACGTTGCATATGAATATCGTGTTATCATAGATATTCATTATACCAACGTATTGCTCAACAATTTTGGTAACAAATATTTTTTATTTGACATAAATGAACAGCAAAGAAATAATAAAATGTCTAAACATGTTATTTTACGTTTTAACTTACTCATTTAAGCAGAAAAACAAAGAGCCGGAATTATCTACTCGTGCGCGTTAAAAATATCCCTTTTACGTACCTCTTCCAGGGCCTCTCAAAATTACCCGTTATGTTTCTAAATATAACTTTTATGGTAATACCGGAATATCGAAGAGCTGAAGTTTATTATGGTGCAAGATTTATCAGAATACGTAAACAAATAAATGAAATATGCCGCCAAAACACTGATTTTCGGCCGAGTTTATCTCCCAAACCAGTATACACCAATTTCCTTAACTAACGGCATACATTGTAAAAGATTTTCAGTCGCTTTACTTGGTCTAGACTAATTTTCCTATATTTTGTAAAAGTTATGCAGTTTAACAATTTAACAGGATTTTCAGTCTCAACAGTGCTCAAGATTTCAGAAACTCAAAAAAAGGTAAAACATCTTTAAGAACAATAAATTATATAACATTTTAATGAAAATACTAAACTTCATCTGCAACACTGCAATTGTACTAAATTTATTACAATAAGGAAGACTTTAGTGCATGAGATTTTGTAAAATTGTAAAAAAAAAATCTTACATCCCGTGCTACTTTCACTTTGTGCTATAAAGGTATAATAAATTCCGTAAGTACGGTATTTGCCGGGTTTAGGCGTAATGCCACTAAATGATATATTAAGTTATGTTACACGTTTTCATTATGTTTACTATAAATTTCGATCTTCAGCACTGATATAGTCAAATCAATTTCAATAAATATTAGCATACATGTACGTAACCCGGGGTTCTATGATATCACGGTACTTAACGTTTATCAGAAAATATTTCAATATCGACATCATACATCATGGAGCTGTATGTGTCATACATGAATGAGATTTTTCATCTATTTAATAAGTGATCCTTTTCCAAGACTGTCTGTCTTAAATTTATTTCTGAAGATCCAATTTAAATGTCATTTTTAACAATTTCCATTGTCTGCCAATTGGGGTGATTTCAGAGGGGGTTGCTATGGTATCATGGTTATCCACAAAAAATGAAGATATTGAGTACAGTACACGTGTCATAATCTTCAAATTAAGTTATGAAAATCTTACAACAGTTAACTTGCATACTAAATAATTCATGCTCTATGAACAGTCAATGCGCCAGAATATTGTATTATAACATATTTCAATTGACTATGTAAAAACAATTAAGGGAAATAGTAGTCAAATATGAAGATTTTAGAAAATATAGCTTTCTTACAAAGAATTTATTCATTATTCACACGCTAAATTATTGGCAGATGCTGTGAAAGTTTTAAGAAAAGTATCATCAACATGTGTTGCTTTAACATGCAGTCACAGAAAATGTAATACCGTGATATCATATAGAACCCGTGATATGATAGAATCTAAGTATAAGCTTTGCATGTTTAACTGTTTGACATAAACCACGGACTTATATTACACATATACATCCGTGACATAAACAGAAGGAAGGAAACTTTGGGAAGACTGCTTACTATTTTCTTTTGCCCAGGTACAATGAAATAATATTAACAGGTACTGATGTAATTATATCATCGATTGCATAAATGAATCAATTAAAATAATGCAGATATATAATTACTTAAAAAGAAAAAAGATTGAAAGACACGACTCAACATATATTATGTGTTATATATTTAGTTATCATCTAGATTACATTTATTTTAATCAAATGGTATCTAATATCTATCCCTATAAACTTGAAATGAATAAAACGATTTCCTGAAATTTCCCTGCATCATTTTTAAAAATCTTCATATTGCAGTCAATAGCAATAGTCACGCGAAAATCTATAACGGAGATGACATTTATTTTGATATATTGACTGCATGACTGTAGATTTTTGAACAGGTTGAAAAAAAAATCGTTTTGAATGAAAATATTACTCTTAAACTGTAAACCGTTTTTATTTTGGATATGTGATAAATAGAATATTACATTCATGTAGAATCAGTATTAAATTTATTGAACTCGTTAAATAAAACAAACGACAGATATTTTATTCAACCAGTTCAATAAATTTAGAATTAAATCTACACTCATCCAATACCCTCTATATTTATTAAACTCCTGTTTATGTGACAAATTAAATTTCCACATTTATATGCAGATGTATTCCATGCAATATCTTATGGGGTATATATGTATGTGTCTCGGTTAATTAGATTCGCTAGGGCATATGTAGCCTTGTAAACGATTTTAACAAACGGAGTATTTTTATTACTAACAAGCTTCTCAAACAGGACTTAAAATATTTTACTGAATTTTAGACTCGTAATTTCGATTTATTTCAAAATAATATAGCGATTTGAAGATACCGCTAATGTTTGTAAGAACTTGGGCCCAACCCGTTTGCTTTTGCTGTTTAGAATACATATGGATTTTGTATCTGTATTGTATATACATGTATATAGCAATAAAATACATGTATGATTAAATTAAACGGATGAAGCGGGAGACTATAATAGCAGCTCTTAAAACCCATCCTAATTTTCGTCGTCTGCCAAGGTTCTTCGCCATTGTTGGTGTTATTCATGCTGCTCTTTCTTCCTGTAAGACAATGAGTGCTTTTGTCAATTTTTGTGCTTTATTTTGGATCTTATTAATGAAAATAATATAAAACATTAAATAAGAAAAAAATATAAGAAAATGTAAATAAAAGTAACTGTACTGTAAATTAATTTTTAAAATTAATATTTGTAGGTAGCTAAATCTACAGATCTAAATTTATATAAGATTACTATATTGAAAATAGTTGTTGGAAAATCAGTGCTTTTAAAAGACTCTTGGTAATTTTAGTAAGCATTATACTTACTAGAAAATAAAACATTAAAAATTAAAATATTGAAAATAGGCTGGAGATTTCTGAAATGGATCAATGTGGGACATCTTTGATTAAAGGTGTATTTAAATTGCGGTCACATATCTATTTTCATCAAGAGCCCCGGCCATTTCCAATCCTCAGAAAAATAACCTGGTCTAAAAGTTGATGTGCAAGAAGTTGCAACGTTTGTTAAAAATACTGTCTGTTATGTATTGCTTAATTTTTAATAATGGGAAGAATGCTGACCTGAGATATCTTTTTTCTATGGGATCTCTTTCTATGACCATTTACTTTATTTCTAAACGCATGACGAAGACCAAAGAAACTGCTTATGTTTTCTAAGGAGGTACAAAGACAAAAAAAGCTGTTTGTGTACATTGTAAAAATTGAAAAAAAGAGAGATAAGGAGTGATGTTTATTTATTATAATTTAATGATAATAGTATGCCACTCCTTTATTTCACTACTTTTAGAATTCAAATAAGCTTCCAGGATTCAGTTGTGAATTATACAAGAAGTCAATGTGGAAATGGACGGTATACGACCGAAAGAAAGGAAGAAGAAGAAAAAAGAAATTGACGAGACAATTGCTTTTAAAAGAATGTTTACACAATGCTGAATCTTGTCGAATTACGACGATAATGTTTTCAATGATTATGAATGTTTATTTTGTTTTCAGCGTAAAATAAAGATATGTCGGCTTTTCTAAGCCTAGAAGTATATATTTTGTGATTTTCAAGGAAGCGACCAGACATACTTACTACTTTACAGCAGACGACAATTAAATACTTTCTTGATAAAGTGCATATAACCTCTGATTATTCACGAAGTGTTCCATTGCATACCTTGCAGGAATTTAACGTACTTTTTGATCGATTACGTTATCCAATGTTCACATTTGTAACAGTATGCACAAATGTAGTTTTACATGAGAAGATAAAGCCTGAATTGTTTTTCATTGGTAGCAGTGTAAGGGTAATTTAAGAATGAAGACCATATAATGTTTTAGTTACAATGAACTATACATTAACATTATTTTTATTAATGTTAACTTTACAATGATTTCCCAATTGTTGTTTTGACTGGATGTACTTTGTTACATTCCACATCTAATGCCTTAGAAATATATCAATCAATACTGTTTTACTTTTTTTTCATTATAGTGTATTCACACATAACATTATTTGTCTTACATAACCGTTTACTTTGTATAGATTTTTTTCTCTTTTGCAAAAACGTATATGTATGTACAAATGTAATAACGCCTTTTGATAACCTTATTGACGCCATGACACGCCATATATTGACGATTCTAGGATAACCGCTGAATAAAATCGCAAATCGTGGGCTAAGTGCAAAACAGTTGTTACTTGAAACATAATGAGAATTTTTATTTAGATAGACATTTAAAATGTATGAGAAATTCTTACTGGACAATTTTTGCATACATGTATAATTTTGAGAGATATTAAGAATTTGAACGTTTTATCATTCGGAAGCCAAAGCGCAGGAAACTTATTCTTGCATAGCAGACTGGCGTTTCCTTAAGTTTTACGCATGCTAGAAATTTCATCTGACATGGGGGTGCCAGACGAGTCGCGTGCCAAACAACAACGTCATTTTAGCGACAGATATTATTAATTATTACTGACAACAACAACAACACCAACAACAATTATTTCTAGCACTGGTCAATTGGTTAATATTAGATACAAGTGATGAGAACTGTGTGAGTACCTTATGTGGCTTTCAAATCAGATGTCTATTTATTAAATAATGATAACCACTGAATAGTACGTTAATTACAGGAATGTTACACGTTATTATGCGTTTCTGTTCTATATATAATTGATATTTCTATATTGCAATTCCACTTTAATTTCAAATTGTGATTCTTTTTTTTTTCATTATCATTTCATAATATAAACAGACACCATTAAAATTTACAATTTCTTGAAATACAATACCATAATGTATAACATAAGTTAAATCGATGTGAACACTATACCTGAACTTTCCCATGCCATTTGCTATGTGCCTACGCTTTATAAAACAATTCAGTGAGACAAAGATTAAATTCAGACGGTTTATACATTATAGAATTAGATTCTTTGCAATCTTGTTTATGCACTCTTATAAACAGGCTATAACTTGAACATACATACTCGCTAAGTAAACTATTTTACTCTAAAGTATCATATTGTGGACTTAAAAGGTAAACACAACGGACAAAGATTAATTTTTCATGGCCATAAAAAGAATTTTAACGACTCTTTGTGAGTATTGTTGAACTACATTTTAAGCGATACTAGGTTGTTCAGATGAGTGATATATTCGCAAATGTGACTTAATTATAAACATTCGTGTTAATAAGAGTGGCAGTTACCAAACAGTTTATTTCATTATCTCGTCTTTATATATAAATTTACATTTGATAGCATATTCCAAAATATCTTAGTGGATCATGAGCTATTGAATGTTGAACTCAAGACAAAAATCTGGTTTATTATCCATTATAGCTAACTTCAAACTAAAATGTCACCAAATATTTTTTATAGATTATGGAGTAAGATATTTTCTTGTGAAACAGTTCACTCAAATGTTAAATTTTTCCCCCATATGTTTCATAGTTAACGGTAGTTTTGACCACAAGCTGATCATTATTCATATTTACTTACCATTATAATCAAAAATACAATAAAAAACATAGGCATGCCCTGTTACAACCTGTATTGTAATAAAACCGGAATTGTAATAAAATTATTACAAAACTGGTTAGG